GAGCACATTTTGAAACAGGCACCTGTACAATGCGCCTTTTTTTGTTGTCCATTTTTTTGTTTTTGGCTTTTTGCTTTTGCTTTTTGAAGTTTGACTAGGAGTTTACCACATAAATTAACCACCATAAATCAACCATATTGAGGCACATGTAATGGTATATTTTAGTTTAAGCTGCTCTCAAGCGCTATTCAATAAGGAAAATAATAAAAAAGAATAATAAAATAAAGCATATAGTAACGTGATGACTTTATGAAAAATTAAGAAGGCCGGCTCTCAATCTTTCAGATTCATTTTGTAATTTAGGCTAGTACATTCTAATTTGTGTGGATATGTGACAGTTTTCTTCTTCTTCTAATTATAGGACATGTTTTCCGCAATACTTTTTCTTAATTATATAAAGCAAAAATTATATGATGAAAAGAGCTGACGCTGAGGCCTAAATGCTTCACAGAAACCCAACATTTGGTTCATCCAACGTTCCTATTATTTAGAATGCAGTTGTTTATTTTTCTAAGTGATCGGTATAAATATTGTTGCCACTCTAATGCTGATCCGTGTTTTATTTTCGATAGGCTCGAAAATAAAACACGGATCAGCATTAGAGGAAGCTTAAGAACCCTTAAGAACATACCCCTCACAAATGTTAGAAACCAAGAACGACATGACATGAATAAACATTCGTGTTGCACACACCAAGGCTATATAAAAGGAAACATTTCTTGCTTGAATTAATTTTTACTGAGTGCGAGACCATATAATATACAGAATTTCAATAACAACATCAGAAGAAAACCATACACAAAAAACAGAGGCTTTTTTGGCTTTTTCATGGCTGTAAAATTACGCCAACCACTGCGTCAAAAAGACAAATGCCTGTATCATCTGCAGTTGTTTTTTTGGTGGTGGGGTGGGGGGGGGGGGGGGGGGGGGGGGGGGGGGGGGGGGGGGGGGGGGGGGGGGGGGGGGGGGGGGGTCTTTTAAGAATGACATGATTGTCCTGACTATTACCAAGTGAGCTATAGGCCTATGGGAGACAAAGGCTGGCAGCCTAATTTAAAGCCAACAGTATTGCACAATATTGAAAAATATTAAAATATTTAATTCCACATTCAAACACTGACACAAATCTCTGTAAATTACATATAGACAGCCAACCCTGTTCAACTTAATACGTTCAAATATATGCACCCAAAATGGATCATAATAATTAAAAAGAAAAAAGAAAATAACCAGAAAATCCATTACTTTTGTTCCCCACACGCGTGGGAGCTGTAAAAGGGACCCTGTCTTGCTCAAGGACACTTTAGTAGAAGAAAGCATGATTACAAATAATAATAATAATAATAATAATAATAATAATAATAATAATAACTGTGTCCGTTCAATCTACAAAATATACAAAACAATTTTTTTTCAGTTAATCACTCTCATTTAAAAACAAATGTACAATGCTTTATGACACAAATGTTAAACGGGTCTCAGCAGTGGGACTGGGTGAGAATAGTACATGTGGTGGGGGAAAGCCAGGAGTGCCTGGCCGCCCGGTGAGTTTGTAGCAGGGCCCCCGCTCGTTTCTGGGGCTCCATTCTCGTGGTAGAGTATGGGAACCCGCACAATCCTCTGTGCCGCCGCATGGCTCAGGTTGGCCGCCTCCAGCTCGGCGGCCAACTGCCTTTTCCACTTATTCCTCCGGTTCTGGAACCAGATTTTCACCTGTGTCTCGGTTAAGTGCAGAGACGCGGCTAGGCCTGCCCTCTCTGAGCTGCTCAGGTAGCGCTTAATGTCGAAAGTGGACTCCAGCTGAAAGACCTGACTTCTGGAAAACACGGTGCGCGTCTTCTTCTTCCGACAGGGCTTCTTCTCGGAGTCCAGCTCGTCGTTTTTTCTCCTCCAGTCGTCCTCCTGGTCTGTTTCTTTCTTTGGCTCCTCCGAGTCACTTTCATCCAGGGCGATGTCATCGTCGGCGCTTTCATCTTTGGCATCTTGATCACTTTTCTGGAGATCCGGAGAGCGCCTGTCCGGTGCCTGTGATGCTTCTCTTAAGCTGACCTTCTCAGACCCTGTTGAAAAACATTTTATTTTGTTAAAACCTATTCTTCAACGACAAACAATTCTGCAGTGAAAGCTATCCTACCTCTATTCTATTTTCCCCTTTATGTAATTGGTTTATTGTTGGGATACATTAAGTTTAATTTAGAGTTTAAAGTATTTAAAACGTTTTTATTAATATTTACGTATCCATTCACGATGTTGAATACACCACAGCTTTTCCCGATAGAAGAACGTGAATTAATATTAAAACACTATACGTCCCTCGTCTAAAGCAAAACAATAATTTACCTCCAGTCCTAAAATGTGCTCCAAGCGTGTAGGGGTACCACCAGGTAGATGCTCTTTCCAGATATTGCGCGGATAGTCCAATTCTCTGTGCTGGCAGCTCAAATCGAGGAACAGACAAATCACCGAGCCGAGAAAAGAAACTGCCTTCCAAAACCCCCTTGTGCGAGCTGAGGATGCTTTTTGGCTTCGTGGGTTTGTCTTCAATATTCAGCAGGTTCTTTATGGAGAACGGCGAGTCTTTTGCAGGTTGGCGAGCCTCTTGAGTATCAGAGTCTGCCATCACCGTTTACTGTCCGACAGGGATCACCATCAAAAGCTGAAAAAAGATATTAAACAGATCTAAAGGATTCTCTGGCGTTAAAGTCCGAGCTAAAATAGTTCGCATAAGATGGAGGGAAAACTCAGAAAGTCGCGTAAAGCTGTGCCCAGCTTCCCCCCCACGAGAATGATCAGCGTGACAGCGCAGAGATCACTGAGTCAGACTTGCTCCCGACCGTAGTGATGAAATAAAAATGCCATCCGAGTTAAAGCGTGCTCGGTCGCTGCTATTGGACAGGTACAATAGCAAATGGGATTTGAGATGAAACCGCGTGGGGGTCTGACAAGAATGGACTCCAAAGAAAAAGGCCGCGCGAGAGTTTTGGCTTCGGGCTCAGCAGTACGCACCCACTTGTCAACCAATTAGATAAAAGAGGAAAATGTATCAGGGTTATGAGGGGTGTGCGCGAGCCACAATTACCTGTCAGTAAATTGAATAAATGGTCCATTGATTAAATGGTCCAGCGAAATCAAGCAACTTAGCCTTATTAAACAAATTACGCATAGGGTTTACGCACGAATGTAAGCTACGATATACAATAACAAAATGGCGAAGTATTGTTCTTAACGCACAAAAAGATTCAGAAAATTGTTAAATATTTAGTCATTTAATGATTTTTGTCATTAAACGCGGACGCTGAACACTATGACGCACGATTTCGGCGTGCCACTATTCTGTTGCGTCCTGACGCGCGTGTGTTCGGCAGGAAAGCTGTTCGTTTCACCTGCACCGGAGCGCATTGACTTCGGTGTAATTTTATTAGCCAGGAAGCGCTACAGGCAGACATCAAATTGAATGTTTAACCATCGTGATAAAGTCTTTTCACATCAGCTTAGTACCAAAGCAGACAAACCCACAGGGGCAGCAGGTGATCTAATGCGCGAGGATGACAATAGGCCTGTTTCTGTCACACATACAACAGTGCTAGTACTTGAATTAAGCAAATTTCAATTGTGTACCTGAAGAGACATGTATAAGAGCTGTTTGGTCACATTTTATTTGTGCGTATGATGAACGAAAGAAAGACCAGGAAAGAAAATGAATTTATAAGTACACTGCTTTTCTGATCTCTATTTAGACTAAGAGCATATATCTCCAAAAACGGAAGAGATATCAACATTTTGCGTGTCTATTTGGTATAGGCATACGCAAAGAAAAAAAGAGACACTAAAAACATTTAAGATGCACCATTTAAACCAAAGTTGAAGCAAATGCAGAGAACTAATCAAACAAATTGAATTTGCTCAACCTGCAAATATGCAGCCTGTCCTTTTAGCTCGTGGAGCGCTCTCCAGCTCTAGAGGACAACACTGTGTTTTGTGAAAAGCTACTTGAATCCTTGCATAATTAGAGGTCTCATAGCTGTGTTAAAGATGGGGGCGGAGAAAGAGGCTAGCTGAGCAGCATTTTGCCGATGCAAAGTGAAAAGCAAATAGCTGTGTTTTCATCAGATTATGTTCATTAAAGAGAGGGGGGGAGGGTCCACGAGTCAGAGTGGATCAGAGGGGCAAACAAAGTACACTCAATCAGTGATGTAAATGCAGGCTTGATTTTCTGTTCTATCTTTATGTGATTAAAAAAAGACAGAAATTTAGGTTTAAAGAACAGGTGTTTGTATGCAATTACACTGCAGCCTAGCACGTTTGATTCTAACTTCTATCAGCAAAGTCCCAGCAGTAAATAACACTCAATTCATATTTAAATTCAAAGCTTTTGTTACAGATACAGTGGTGGTGTCAAGAATTATACTGATCGTTTAGAAACACACACATAATCCTAAATTTTTTATGAGGGCAAATACATTTCAGTCCCTTTCACTCTTCAAATGTATTATACAAATACATGAAATAAGAAGCAAAAGCAAATTTTAATATAAAATTATCTGCTACAAAAACATTAAGTTTCTGTATTAGGAAACGGTGTGACTAATGAAAATCATCAAATAGTATCCGTGTCTGTTTTAATTTTTCCCTCTCCATTATTTAAAAGTAATAAAAAATATCACCACATAATTATTTGTAAGAAGTCTTGGCTAAAAGTTTAAAAGCTGTTCAAACAATAGACCTTATTTTGCACAGCACATGTAGCCTGTGCAAATTTAATCAGTCACACCCACAAAATTATCAATGAGTCAATTATGCAAGGCGAGCTCTTTTCATCTGAAGCACCGGCATAATTAAATTGATATAAAATATCATTAGAGGTGACAAGCTGTTAAAAGACATGATAATTGACTGCCGCTTCTGTGAGCGGCTGTCACTCGGGAAAATGCTGCCATCTAGTGAGAGAACTTGGTATTAACCTGGACTCCTCAGCAAATACAAACAACCATACACTGCACTACAGCATACTTCACATTTAATAGTACTGACAGATCATTCTTTACAGATGACTTCATAAAAGGATGTAGAATCATACAGAGAGAACACACACCTTTACATCACTGATCTCAGTAATCGCAAATCTTCCGAAGGCACCAAAACATAATCCTAATCATCAGCTTTCAACAACTAACTCCCACATTGCAAATGTATGGATCATTTATGTTACTGTTACATTAATAATAATCCTAGAACAAATGTGGGGTGAAGGTTGTAAAGGTCTTAAAATGATATACAGTTTGTTACTCATTGTATTTGAATCGATGGAAAGCTCACTGAATACAAAAAGCAAAATAAACATCATTAAACCAGAGCAGCTTTATCTCTAAACCTGAAGAAACGTAACCAAAACACCAGTAACTATGAGCTGCTGCACGAGAACTAATCTATAGTAGTATGGTCTGGATCAATCCCATTATAATCACTGGGGGGGGAAATGCGGAGTGTAACATCGCAGAGTACAATCGTTTAGGCTTTGCTCATAGAGTTTCAAACATTGTACTCCTTATCAATGAACTTGGCCATAGTGGACAGCTGGATATTCGTCGTGCCCTCATAAATGGTACCTGCACAAAGAGAGAAAACAAAGCATTAGCACAGATTCCTGCCATACACAACAAAGTCCATTTTGTCAAACTCCTCTGCACACTACATGCATCCGCCACTTTCACTAGCAGGAGACAAGGAGGCTTAGCGTGGAGCTAGGTCTGCCGGTGCTCCAGCCAGAGAGCTCGGGAGCCAAAGTGGCAGTGATGAAAGGAAAAGTAACATTTTGAAATGGCAGCTTCCTTGGCTGTGTGCTGGTATAATGGCACTCTGAGGGGTCAGACTGGAGAATTCCAGCAGAGTCCGATTACAGCCACTGCTATCGGGCCTTCTCTCTCCGCCCCACTCTGCTCCAATCACGAACATCTACACCTGACCCTCCTGTAGCACTCACAAGTTTCGTTCTTTTCACAGTAGGACTCCAGCCACAGTTACACTAAGTACACCTTATTTAAGCAGCAATCTCACTAACAGCATACAAACACAAGCCAATATTTGCAGAGTGATCCAGAGTCCAAGCACGTTTGTCGAGTTAGGCTCACCAATTTTACAGTCTCTGTAGTATTTTTCAATAGGGTAGTCTTTAGTGAAGCCTACTCCTCCCATCCACTCGATGCACTTTGATGTGGTAAGGGTGGCAACCTGAAGAAAGTAAATTATAAAAAGAGACAGAGAAAATAAAAAGACTTTTTGAGTTGAACTTGTAAAAATAATTACTAGCTGAGACAGCAGCAGAGATATCACAGAAATGATAGGATGTAACAGAACCTAAAAACTGCCATGGCTTCAGGAGAGTCTTAGCAACAACTTTTACTTCTTCTACCATTGGTTGTATGAAATCATGACACAAATAACGTTATGGCAACATACCTAAACAGGTCCAAAAATATCCTTATTCTGTCCTATAGTGTACTACCACAAAAACAGTAAGCTCACCTCTGCGCTGAAGTATTTAGCCATGCAGGCCTCTTTAATGAAAGTTCTTCCGGCTTCTTTCAGACGAGCAGCGTTGTACGTCAACAGCCGAGCGGCTTCAATCTGTGTTGCTACATGGGCAATTTGGTGCTGCATCCCCTGGAATATAAGGAGCACCAAAAGCAGCATCAGAATTTATTGAACCAAGCCTTATCACCACAAGGTGTTGTAAAAAATCCAAAGTCCAAATATGGATCGTGACCTGGAAGTCAAAGATACGTTTTCCAAACTGCACCCTCTGTCTGGTGTAAGGAACAGTGTGATCAAAGCAACCCTGTGCCAATCCAAGCATCTGAAACACACACAGAGTTAGAACACCGCCCTGCTGAATTTGAAATTTTAACAGAGCAGATTTTGTGTTTTATTTTACCTGTGCTGCTATTCCAATCCTACCCTCATTCAACATCCCGATGGCATACTTATAGCCATGACCGATCTCTCCTAAAATGTTCTTCTCTGGCACCTAGAACAGAGAGCAGAGTTTAAAAAAAATCTATCTAACGCACTTGCCAGGCATTTCTCTGGTAACGTACATGATGTATGGTCGCACCTTGACATTGTCAAAGTTGAGCGGGCAGGTGGAGGAGGCCCGCAGTCCAAGCTTGTTCTCCTTCTTGCCAATTTCTAGCCCCTCGGTGTCCCGGTCCACGATGAAGCAGGTGATGCCTCTGTATCCCTGCCAAACAAAGATGACTTTATATTTACCTTTCTGTCACAGGGGAACGCATTTAATCACCACAAAGCATCAATAGAACCTATAGAGGGTGGGTATTATAAAGTATAGTTTCACTTGATGTTTTTGTTAAATGAATTTGATAAAAAAAAATCCAGCATGTCTTGGTAATTTCCAAGATAAAGAAAAAAACGCAATCAATATATTGTTATTAGCTTATAAGCTCAGAAGCGACTGTTGAGAGGGGCCTTAAAAATCTAGGCTCAAAAAGAAATACTGCACACTCTGAGAATAGAAACATCAGCAGTTACTCACAGCAGAGAGATCCACATTGGCCATTACCAGGAAAACACCAGCATGCTCTGCATTACTGATCCACATCTTGGATCCATTGATTACATAATAGTCCTTGTGCTTTTCAGCACGCGTCTTCAGAGCAAAAGCATCGCTTCCCGACTCTGCTTCAGAGAGACAGAAGCTTCCAATCTGGTATAAATAATACAAAAATACTAATATAAAATACAAATAAACAAGGAACAAATATAGAGAAATTACACATACGGTTTCCAAAAAAGAACGGCATATATATATGTATATATATAAATAAAGCTCTTTGACTTAACAGCAGATTAAACCAGTACAAAGAACACAAATCACATGATGAATGATAAAACAAAGAATGTTTCCTTTTTTTTGATGATTTTTGGAATCAAATAGCAAATCTTTGGACTAATGAGGAGAAAGACCAACAGTGTACAAGCTCAAAAGCCAGAATTCGTGACAGTAAAGGGACACATAAATGCATATCGAAGGTGTCTTATTCAGTGGAAGGCCATGCTTATTTCATGATAAAAGGCAATTAATCACTATTGGTTATGGCCAAGTCCTGGAGAAGAGCATCTTTCAGTGCTCTTGAAGCAGATGAGCTGGAGCAGCAGAAGACCACACCAGGTTTCTCTTGTATAAACTAAGAACAGAAAACTGAGACCACAATTTATAAGGGCTCACATAAACTTGGCAATATTAAAATGTAAAATCACTGTCTGAGATATTTTCATATTACCCTTTAGGCCCCTTAGTAGCAATTAAACATCATTTAAACACTTCAATTAAATAGTCTTGTTGCTGACCATGTCCACTCCTTTACTCAACTGCTGCTGTGAGCACTAAATAAATAAATAAAACTAAACAGAATTGAAAGCATGATCAGAAAACATTAATCAGTTGCACTTGACAACATTAACATTGAATTGATGTACACTGTTTTTATTTCTTCCAGATTATCAAGCTGCTTACCATGTCTGTTGACAGTCGATTGAGGTACTTCTCTTTCTGAGCTGGGGTACCGAGTTTGACAAACAGCGTGTTGATCAGAGTGTTCTGGATGTCACATAGTACAGCCACAGAGGGATCCACCTTCGCCAGCTCCTCGATGACCAGAATAGAGGAGAAAAACGAGGAGCCAGTCCCGCCATATTCGGGGTCGATCTCAATGCCCATGAGCTGCAAAAATCAAATGAGTCACTAGAAGGGAAAAAAATGACACACTGGCGTACTTTTAATGACATATACGTTAATTCACGATTAAATTAGTTACGTACACCTTGTTCAAAGAGGGATTTGATCACTTCCTTATCCATCTGCGAATTCTCATCCATTTGTGACACAAGTGGGAAGATGCGCTCCTGTGCGTATTTTTTCACTGTCAAGCAGCAATGCAGATATTTAGCGTTTTAAGAAACCCTGTCTCCAGCTGTGCACTACAACATGAAACAAGAGGTCCTGCTTACCTGCTTCCCTCATCATGCCTTCCTCCTCTGTGTATGTCTGAAGTGGAGGGAAAGAGGAGACCACCTCGGCGGGATGGTGTGAAGCCACATCTGGGACAGATCTGGAGGAAGTGCTCCTCCATCCTGCCTGGCATGCCCCCCATGGACGAGAGAGTTGTTTGAAAGACTGAAAAACAAACAGCAGTAGAAATATGTAACATCGCTTAGAAAATAATTAGTAATGAACACACAGTGTGACTGAGCATTACGCAGTAATCTCGGGCACGGTTGACCACTGTTTGAGGATTGAGTGTTGAAACTATTTTGGGATGAAACTAGTTTGAGCTTTAGCAAATATTAGCATCAGTTAGCTAAAAACGTCACGTAGGCAAGAGCCAGAGAGGTTACAAAATTCAATGATAAAAAAGGGTTATACCGTAGAAAAGATATTCAAATGAGCGCAGAAACTCTTCAAATGCAAATAATAATGACCTAAATATTCTGTATAACCTTTGAGAAAATCCTGACCAACGGGATAGCCATGATGTTTGTTATGAAACGTTCAGCAGCGTACGTCCACCAGAGGGCTCATTTCTATTTCTGCCTTCAGTGACCTCCTGTAAGAGTCAGACACGAGAAGTTACACTATGTAGGAGACTTTAATGGCAATACATTAATCATTAACATGTCCTTGTGGGATTATCGTTATGAGCAGGAGTGGAGAAAAAAAAACATAAATGGCAAGTGCTTCACTGTCTGTCCTGTTAATGTTGTGAATTTTTAACTTTTTGTATGTACTTATTAAATTAAGAAATCAAACGAAATATACAAACTTATGTCAGTGTCATATATGTGTCCTGTGCAAAAATATAGGGCCATTGTTGAAGACTTGTGAGAATGTGCGTGTGTTTCCATCTGTTTGTGCGTACTGAAACCCATGTGCGCGTATTCAGATCTCTGTGTGTGATCCGTGTGGTTCACGCAGTCAGATTTATACATATTAAAAAATATAATAAATATATATATATATAAATATATATTAATGACAACCAGTTATATATTATAGATAGAGTGAGAGGGAGAAAGAGAACGACAGCCCCATACGAAAATAAACATAGGCTATGTTTTTCCGATAATAGAGAAGGCAACAGTTGCGTTTGGGTGGCCGCTAACATATCAGAAAAAACGGAAGCGATCGCATGTTCGCCAGGTAACAGCATGAGATGATAAACTGTCCCAACTCTGCTGTTAGCTCGAAGAAAAAGCGTTTGTTAGAGTTGTTACGGCAAAATATGGACCACAGTAACGATTGTGCTTAATTTGGGTGTTAAAATTTAAAATACAAGAGCTTAAATCTAGGTAATGTTAGCGCTGCTGCTAAAAGCAGTAGGCTAGTCATTAAGAACGCTAGCAGCAGTAGGTTAGCTGCTGTCAGAATACCAAAGCAGACTTGTAGTACATCGCCATCACATTTGAATCTTTTTCTTCAGGCTCAGCACACGAGAAGGAACATGGAGGAGATAAAGACCGAGCCCGTGGATTTTGTAAAGGAATTTCAAGAATACCTGACCCAGCAAACCCAGCATGTCAACATGATTTCAGGCTCCGTGTGTGGTGAAAAAGAGACAGCGGAGTCGTTTCAAGCCGGTGAGAAGGAAGCACACTAATATACAAACAACTGATTTACGTGTTTTCTAAGAAAAATCATATGTTGAAGTCATGCTGTGTTTGTTTGTAGTTGCCCCAAGGTGCGAGCAAAATGGTCTGGACCCCCCGTCTGTGGAGGTGAGACTGTCTGTGGAGGATGGGTCAGATGTGCAGATGGATGGCCTGGAGAGGACCTGCGATGGAAAGTATAAATGCAGCTACTGCAGCTATGCAAACAAGGGCATGGCTCGCTTAATAGAGCATATCCGCATCCACACAGGTCAGCGTTCCCACCATGTAAATATTCCCAATATACAGCTGATAAAGTGAAATACTGAAAAGCTTCACCTTGTCTAAACCTTGTCTAATAGACATCACAGTAAAATATGCTGGTTAATATCAGAGTTATAACTGCAATTATTTCCTTGCCCAGGAGAAAAGCCTCACCGCTGTCAGCTGTGCCCATTTGCATCTGCGTATGAGCGTCACTTGGAAGCCCACATGCGCTCACACACAGGAGAGAAGCCCTACAAGTGTGACCTCTGCGCCTTCCGATGCAGTGACCGCAGCAACCTGTCACACCATCGGCGACGCCGCCACAAGCTTTTGCCCACCAGGGTGGCACGCTCTCCTTTCTCCAACAAGAGAATGCTGAGCGCTTTGCAGAAGAGGACAGCTTCGCTGGGGTTCGGGCGGCGCCTCCTGATCAATCTCAACCCGGCCTCTGTGATGATGCCAAAATCGGATTTTCTGACTGACTTGTCTCACAAAATCCACCATTTAAACAGCAGCGAGTATAAGAACGCTCCCAGGGTAGATGAGAAGGAAAGTCGCAACAGGAGTGCTAATGGTTTGACTTTTAAAAACCCACTCGACCAGGTGTCTACACTAGCCGGTCAGTTGGCTGAGCTCCACCCTGAGTCTCAGACTCCCGTGTCCCCAGACAGGGAGTCAATAAAAGATGAGAAGCCCATCCTAATACATAATGTCTCCAGTGAACAGGTTGCAATGTGCTCAAATGGAGTGCAGATATCATCACTTAAAAAAGAATCTCCCACCTCACGCCACGAGAACTGTAGTCCTGCTCTGAGCCTTGGCTTTGAGAACAACATGAACGCTCTGACTGCGTGTGTTAGCAACAGCCAGTCGGGCACACCCGCCCCTGCCCTGACTATACCGGATCAGCAGGTCGTGTATAATTGCCAACATTGTGATATTCACTTTTCTGACAATATCCTCTACACTATTCACATGGGCTGCCACGGCTATGAACATCCATTCCAGTGCAACAGCTGTGGGCATAAATGCGCAGACAAATACGATTTTGCCTGCCATTTTGCCCGTGGCCAACATAAAAAGTGATTCCTGACAGCACAGACTTATATGGAGCCCTTGTTTTTATTATATTGGTTATATTTAGCAACTAAACATAGTGAGACTGTTTAACATTTCATGTTTTAAGTTGTTTTTTCATTTTACACTTCTACATCTGCACTATACTGTTGCCTTACTGCTTTTCTACCTTGATCCCTACTTTGGGCTTGTCGTATTAGTTGTGAACGTACAAAACCACAAATGACACTTTACAACACATCATAGTTTGTTGTGAGAGTTAGTTAATGCCTTGTGATATCTGTACTCCTTTGCTCATGCAACTTGTTGGGTTTGGCATTAGACTGGGATGGGATTTGCAGTGTTTCATCACTTTGGAGTGAGTCATTAGGATTTCATTCAGCCTGATGAGTAATCACATTTATAAAGGCAGCTATATACACTGATCAGCCAGAACATTGAAACCACTGACAGGCAAAATGAATAACAGTGATTATCTAGTTACAGTGCAATGAAATGGGCTTCTGTGGCCTGTCTACTAACTGGAAGGTTGGTTGGTTGATCCTCAAAGTATCCTTGGGTAAGCTACTGAACCCTCAAACTGCCCCCAAAGTATCAGTTGGAGTGTACGTGAGAATGTTACAAAGTGCTGTGTGAATGTGTGGTGTGATTGGGTGAATGAAGTCTTGCAGCTATACAAGTACCAGTTCATTTTCCAGTGTTCAGATGGGAAGATTTTGCATGTGGCACAATGTGTAGCACTCACGTGGCACATATTAGCACACCCATAACAAGCCCCACAGTGAATCACCCTGCTTCCAACATCCCAAAGGTGCTGTGTCCACACTGTGAATGCTTAGATCTCTGTTTTCCAGCAGGAAGGTGGGGCCCAATTCAATATTATGAGGGTGGTTTTAATGTTGTGGCTGTTGGGTGTGGGGCTTTTTAAAAAAAAATACAACACCAAAGCAGTATTAAGCACCAAACATTTCAAGCTCAACCAGCTTTGTATTCACAGTGGAGGTGCCATTCTCACCACCATTTGTAAATTGCTTGTATGCCTAATAATTATACACCAAAGTCTCAATCATGGTTAAATTAGCCAGACACATTCCTCAGTGGGAGTTGTAGTTCTAATATTTATTTATATGTAACCTCAGAGACTACAATTAGTAGGGTTTTTTTTGTTTTGTTTTTTACAGTTGTATTATATCCCTTTTTAAAAAATATTTATATACTGTCTCAAGTAACTTTGTGTACATACAACTTTAAAATTAATTGTAGCCACTTACTGTCTGTATATTAGCCAATGCTGAGCCATATTAAAGATCCCATATAACCTGGGGTGGTTTATGATGCCAGCTGTCTGCCATCTATAATCCAGTTTGAGTTCCCTTCCCAGACGCCGCAACGCCCATTCACATTCTGGGCCATCTGACCTCAGGAAATCACATGATAGGGTTTCACAATGAGCTTACATGAAACCATGGCTGATTGTGACCTACACCCGTTTTCACACCTTGGCTCGTATGATTAGGTAGAGGATCAAAAGGGGGTCCATTGTCCCTCTTGGAGGGACACTCCCACAGGGCTTAAAATCTGGGACTCTCCACCATTTGACCCTAGAACTGAAGAAGCTTCTTGGATGAGAGGTGAAACATCTTCAAGAAACTTAAAGAAGTCCAGACGCTTTTCTTTCTAAGCTCTATAGATCCCATATAACCCTCATTATGTTACATGTAATGTGAACTAATGTTAGTGGCTTTTCGTTTGTGCAAATCTTGGACACATTAACTTGTTTGTACATGATAATGTTAGTATGGGGAGAAAATGTAATAATGATACTCTTAATTACACCACTGTACCATATCAGGAGAGAAGTCACGTAGACATCTGAAATCAGTTGAGGAGAATTTATTTTTAAAAATAAACATTTCATTCACAATTGTAATAACCAAGTTATTACATTACAACCATTTACGAGTGTTTCACTTAGTAGCAGAAAAATAATTTTAAAAAAGCATTTTTAAATTCTTACATTTAATAAAATACAGTACATTGGCTATTCAGTCAAGCTTATTTGTCATTCATGATTCTAGACAAGATTTCTTTCAAGTCATCATTAAAAATTTCAGCTGCTCTCTTCGCTGCATGCTCTACGTTGATTTCTTCTTCTTGGATAAATGGCACTTCATGGAGGAAATGTTTCCCCAGGTTATGAAGAAACGTTGCTTTGGATTCACTCAGCTGAGCAGCCAAAGACCTCATGCGTTCAGGACGTACTTTATTCTCTAAAATTAGGGAAAGACGAGTTGATCATTTAGCTAGGCTTCAAGTGGCAGCATGCTCTGGTAAACTTGAAATAATAAATATTATCCAAAGCTGACCTCTGGCAGTCTTCATGGCTTCAGAGATGAGGCGTCGACAGGCCTGGTCAGCCTGGTGGACAACACTATTGGCACATTTCAGACGATCAGCATCCTGCAAAATAGATGATGATATATGTGCAGGTGCATGTCTTAAGCCAATACCAATGTATATATGAAAACAGCAACATAGATTAAAAAAAAAATCAGTTATGCATGATGGTATTTCTCTGGCTTCTTGTATTTCCACTACTAATGATGCATTCTTATCTCAGTGCAAAACCGTCCTTTTAATATATTTCTAATTTTCCACTTATAATATGTAGTATTAAGGGACCTGTTATTACTATGTAATATCAAGACAAGACTACCTGCTAGTACTGTTGTTTATGATCATGAGTGAGTTTTTTTTTTTTTAAACAGTATGTGTTAATAATGAGTCATTGTTATTATTATTGCATGTTGATGATGATGGTAATAATTGTTATATCTTAACCCCTCCCCTTCATTTTTTTCCTTCTCTGTCTCCTTTCCCATCCCTCATCCATCCCCTTAACGGTAGCTTGGTGTAATGATGTTCCAATATAGCTGACGGTTAAAACTTTCAGAGTTACATGGAAGAGGCTCTGGGTCACTTTCTTTACCACTGAGATAGACAAAAATCTATTTTACTCAACTGACAACCCACTTATAAACAGTCTCACTCCTTAGGGTCTGTGGGCTGTTTTAAAGGGGGGGTCATGCTTGAGGTTGGCCCCCTCTGATTAGGTACTGTTGATTTGAGGACTCTTGACGATGCGTTATTTCATACGTTAAACCTTTAGAAATGATAGAAATGATCTGCTTCTGTAGCTACATCACTAGCATGTGTCTCAAGTTTACTCTACAGTGACGCACCTTTTGTTCTTTGTTGTCTTCTCCCAGGCTTAGTGGGTTATTTAGTGCAGAGGAGATCAACTCCATCACCCTCTGGCTGAGGATAAGCCACATAGGAGAACACAGAGGCAACAAATTAAAGCCTGACTTATGAATTGACTTTGGTAATTAATCTTTATGGCTGCTCTTTCTGCTGCCTTACATGTCAGATTTGGACACAGTTCCTGTGCTGTTAAGTGTAATGCTGTTAATCTCCCATGAGTTCTTCTGAGGATTCGGAGACTCCAACCGCTTCACCATCTCCAGTATCACCTCAGTGGGAACGGGCTGAGACCTGCTCTGGTTTCTGCTGATGCATGATTCTAAATCACACTGTAGGTAGACCTGGCAGAAACCCAGCGAATCTGCAACATCAGAAGACGTTAACCTAATATTTGAAGAGCCGCATACGTTAAGTGGCATATTCAGTTGATAAGAGGGGTCTTACACTTCCTTGCAAGCTGACAAACTTCATATCTCATACTTGGATAGTAGAAGTTGTCGTCCAGTAGGAAGACGAGAGGTGGCTTCAGACCTTTAGGCCCCATCAGACCTTGAGTGCACTGTTCCCAGGCAGCAACACTGATCCCAGAGCTGCTTGGTGCCTCTGGGAGTATTTCTGACTTCTGCAAGAACTGCTCAATACAGTACAACACAGCTTGTCTGTGTGACTTCCATTCAGTGTGCTAGAGAGGAGAATCAGTTCTAAAATTACTAGGACATACTCAAGCTACTTATGATGTATGGAGACAATATGGATTTTAAAAACAATCTGCTGCAGAATAAAAGTACTTTGAATAATTAATACAGTCACATATCGTGTAGCAGAAGGTAACATTACAGGGAAATTAAGAAGCTTGTTGTTTATGTTGGCTCAAGACTTACAGCAGGTTGTTTACTAATGTTGGGTCAATCCCCAGCTCCTGGACTGTATATGATGAAGTGTCCTTGGACAAAATACTTATCCTCAAATATCCTATGATGCAAGTGCTAAAATTTACCATGGCCTAAACTATCTGATGTTTTATCTATGTCAATGTTTTACCCTTTCCTAAACTGGGAAAGGGTAAAACATTTGATGGAAAAGTGTAGTGAGAGTTACCTGAATTAGCCAAAAGACCCCAAAACAAATCTAACCTCTAATCTTCAAGCACTGAACACATGCAATTTACTTACATGGATGGGTACATTGACCTAACTTAGTGCTGTCAAAGAGCTAAATTTTTTATTTTTATTTTTACCTTTTCTGTTAATTAGCACCAAACTATGTTATTTAATGTAAAGCTGTACTATTTTGATTGCGTTCTCTAATAGTCATAATGCCCTACTATAGATAATATTACGCAGGATGGTTGGTTCACATTACATTTGAATCATGTCCTTACCATTTCTTGCAGGTTAACACCATCCTCGACCACTTTGGTTCGAAAAGCTTGCTCTGGGATCAGGTCATCGTATGGCACCACAGTGGCTCTCCATCCATGCTGTGCGGCGGTACTGAGAATCCGGCGGGCCAGGGTGGACTTCCCAGCAGCGGGTAGCCCGCAGAGGACACACAGACAGGCCGAAGCCCTGCTGACACTCACGGCCTCCTCAGTTGCCATGGGCTACGAAAGAGCAGCTTCGCAACCTAGCTTCTACTACTTACAATTGTACTCTGTTTGCAGCCATGTTGGATATTAACTTCCTCATATTCTTCCGCGTGCCATTTCCTACCGACGTCCTTCAAAATAAAAGCACATAATATTGTAAACGACGTCTTGACCAACCTTGTGTTGTACAGTACTAAATAATATTGTAAATAAAGGATCTAAAGGATTGGAATATCCAAATAACTTTCAAATACAAAATACAACGACTAGTGACATAAAACGAATCGCAAATTGTTTTAATGACTTTTTTCTTGATGTTGGTCCTAGCTTGGCTAAAGAAATTGTAAAATCTGGGCACCCTCCTAAAACTATCAATGTAGCAAACTCAATGTTTATGAGGGGAGTAGATGAAGAGGAAATTATGGATGTAGTTACATCCTTTAACTCCAAGAAACCAAATGACTGTGATGGCATTGATATGGACTTAATTAAAGATATTATTGGATGTATTGTGAAACCATTTACCTACATTTGTAATCTGTCATTACAAAGTGGATTATTTTCAGATAAGATGAAAATCGCAAAGTTAGATCCAATGTATAAAGCTGGAGATAGCAAACTATCGGCCCATCTCTCTACAACTGCAGTTCTCTAAGATACTGAAAAAATATTTTACAATAGATTATATGACTTTATCACAAAAAAACAATGTACTATATATAAAGCAAGTATGGATTTAGACCTAAAATGACCACAATGCATGCCTTAATGGAGTTTATAGATACAGTAACAACTGCTATTGAAAACAAAGAATATGCTGTCTGAGTTTTTTTTAGATTTAAAGAAAGCATTTGATACAGTTCATCGCAACCTTTTACATAACAAACTACATATGGGGTCAGAGGGGTGGCATTATCATGGGCTAACAGTTACCTTAAAAACCGTAAACAATTTACCCAAATAAATGCCATAAAGTCAGAATTGAAATCCGTTGTGCTCCAAAACTGATCCTTGGGGATCAGTTTTGGGGCTGCTGCTTTTCATATTGTACATTAATGAGATATGTGCAATTTCAACATCTTTGAAAATAATATTATATAATATAATACAAACTTACTGTGCTGTGGAAGTAACTTGGAACAACTTCTGAATGAACTAGAATATGAATTAAATAATCTGAAGACCTGGTTTGACCATAATAAATTAACATTGAACCTGAGTAAAGCAAAATTCATAATATTTGGGAAATGCACATATTCTACTAATAGTAAACTGACAATAAATAACAGTACCTGAAATAAAATTCCTTGGTGTGATAATACATCACAAACTATCCTGGATTCCAGACATTACTTATATCAAAGGCAAAATATCGAAGTCTCTGGCAAGGTTAAGGATCTCATAAATCAAACATCATTATATACTCTGTATTGTTCTATCATACTGCGGTACATGACATACTGTGTGGTTGTGTGGGGAAACAAGTACAAAACACACACCCATCCAATATACATTCTGCAGAAAAAGAGCAATAAGGATAACAAATGAAGCTACTTCAAGAGAACCTTCAAATCCACTTTTTATCAATGAAATCGATGAAATCAAGAAAAGTAAATCAATGCAAAAATTCACACATTAAGCAAGTGTTAAACACAGGGTGATTAGTTTATGTAAAAATGTAGTTTGTTGTTGTTTTGGTTTATGTGCTGAAAATGGTTTTATTTGTGTATGTTCAATGTGTTAGACTTGTACACAGTTAAACATATATGGATCAAATAATGTTGAATTCTGGATATGGATTTGTAAGCAATGAAATTTGAAATAAGGGGGTAGGAACAGGAAAAGTGTAAACTTCATCCTACTCCTTTTCAAGCACACACATTATGTAGAAATATATATGAAAACTTGATGATTTTTAAGTTTTGTTTTTTCTCTCTTGTTATTTCAATTATATTTGCATGTTTGAAATAATATTCTATCATCTTTCAAAATATGTCAAAAATATCTGATGTGATGAAATGATTTCAAGTTAGTTTTGAGTCACATTCCTGTCACAAGGTAGAAGCCTCAAGAAGTTGTTATTGGCAAAGCCACTTTTATATACCCTTTATTTAAAAAACAAAAACAAAAGAGTAAAAAAGAGGCATAGTATTGAGGGCAACAGAAATTTCAAAATAAATAAATTGCAGTTCTATCAACACATCTTAAGTGGCCAAAATGGGCTGGATGCTGAAGCTTTATTTAGTTTTACATTTTATTTATTTTTTTGCCATTTTGACTCTATGATTCTACACACAGTGTTTCTGTTTCTATTCTTAGTGTAGAAATAATTTAAAAGCCACAAGAATTTTTTACTCAGTTACAACGAAACAATCAAAGTCCATTTTTGATACCCTTCATTATTACATCGCACACATTATAACAATTGCATTTAACTGCAAGAAACATCAATAATATTTATTTTTTTAAAAGCACGATGATGTAAAATATAAAACTCTTTTTGAATTTTATTTGCATGTATCCCCAAATAGTAAAAAGACCTAATAAAACAGTCAGTAAACATTTACCAGCCTCATCCACTACCACATAATAACAGTCAATCTTACAAACAGCGTGCCTTTAATTAGTATTTTAAAATAGTCTCTTCATACAGTTTTGATCTGTAGCAAATTCATAACTTCAGAAAATAATTTAAATGATACTGTATGAAAGCAATTAGCTTGGTAGATGTTTCGGTTGGATTGGTCTGGGTACTCCAGGGCCTTGTACAGGAGGTGGTTGTTCAGGGGGGTCATGACTGTTTTCATCATCCCAGTAGTTCGTTTCTCCGTACTTGAAACTGACAGATTATGTTTAAAGTCAGAAACCAATCACACATGTTTGTTTGTGTACTGACAGCTTCAGTTTCCATTTATCTATGAGGGAAGTATGGATTTAGTTAAGTAAAAAAGTAAGTCCGTTCATACCCAGAAACTGGAGTTGAGGCAGCTGCTGGAAATGCAGGCTAGAATAAGAACAAGGCAAAAACAACAATGAGCAACACTAAACATCTAACAGAGTTACCTTTCCTGTTTAGGGATTTGCATTTTCACTAGAAAATAAACAAACATTGCACTTCACGTCCTTCACACAAGTACACACTCTTTAAGTTTTAAGGTTTTACGCACAAGGATATGACATATTGCATGATGTCAGCCAAAATGCAGAAACTGTGTGAAAAATGAACTACACCCTGTGATCCAACAGCATCTAAAATCACTTTAAACAGCAATAACTTCATGTAATCATTTTCTCTATAAGTCTCACGTGACTGTGGACAATGTTGCTTCTGTTAATTGAGCTTTGCATGCACAGCTCTCTTAAAGTCCTGGTTTAAGTCTGGACTTTGACTGGGCCATTCTTTGACTTGGCTCCTTTATTTTTCAGAATGTTACAAATTTGCTTTGCAAAGTTTGGTCAACTTCTTCCTCTTGCATTTAAATCATTTTAGAACCTGTTAAGGACATTTGTAACATGCCCTAAGACGTAAAAGCCTTGGCTCGACAGAGAGTGTACTTTCTTTTTACCATAACTATGAAGATAAGTGGATAAATATATTTACCCGGTTGGTGGGACGCTCAGGTGGAGGTATGGGTCTGGCACCCGTTTGAGCATTGCTGTTTGAGCCTGCATTTGTGTTTTTGGTCTGAGTCTTACGTAACCTGAAAAAGAAAAAAAAAATCAAAATGTACAACACCATATGAAAAACAAAACTATTAGTATGTACACTTAATTTGAGTTGAAGTTTACCTTTTGAGGCAAGGCTCTAAGGACTCTCTCCTAAAGATGTAAAGGAGCACCAAAATGAGAAGAACCAGAAGAGGAACCACCAAGAGGAAGAAGATCAGCAGGCCGTTTCTGAGGGAGTAGTCTTGTGCAAAAAAGAGATGTTTGTTCTTTATTAAGTTCAGATGTGAATTAGGAACAATAGTGAAAATTTAATTGCACCAGGAGGGAACTTTCTAAAAGTTCTGCTTTTTATTAGATGAAAATTAATAGTGAACTATCACATTGTTTTTGATTCAGCAGACATACCCTGCATGTCATTGGTAAAAATGAAAATTTTCCCATACAGATGATACAACAACAAATGCTACGGCAATAATGTCTCTACTAATGAGGGGATAACAGATGACTGTGTATCTAATGATGAATTCAGATGGTCATATTGCCACACATGTGGTATTAGGGGACTTATTTGTCATAAGTCATAACCGGTGAATTAAGACGTACCTATTTGAGCAGGGCCGCTGTCTATGCTGCCACCCCACCCTGACCTGTCACAGTAGGGTGGGCCCCAGCCATTTTCACAGTGGCAGTGACCTAGGTTGTTACAAACCTGAAATAAACATTAAAGAGTAAATATCCAGCAGGTCCTAAGTGGCTGGAATCTGAGTAAAGAAAGACAAAAAAAAAAAAGAAGAAACTTTACCCCTCGGCCATTACAGGTGGTTTTTGCATCACAGATCAAGTTGGGCAGGAGAGCAGAGGCATTCACACACTGAAAGTTCACACAGGTCTAAAAGAAAAGTAATGTTACTTACTGGTGCAGTTAGATTGAGTCATTAGCAGTTTTTCCTTATGATGTTGACAGTATTTTTGTAAAAAAAAGTGATACCGTATTTGCATTAGTTGTTACATTTCTTTACTTTGTCATTAAAATAGTTTGCTCACCTTTCCTGTAGCACAGGGGCTGCCAGGGTTAACATAGGCTGGGTCCAGCACATCTGTGCCAAGGTTGAAGTCTGCATTAACACAAGTCTTCCCAGCAACTATTTTGATAGTGACTGTGGCACCAGGAGGAGGGTTATTCACATTCACGTTGGTGCACTGCACCTTTCCACACATGGTATTTCTGTGTAACAGAGTTAAATTAAGAAAATGAATCACAGTTGCAAATGACTTAAACACTGGATGAAAAAAAGGTAAATCTAATCATTAACTGAAATGCTACAATTGTATCTTATCACTCAGTTACTGCCATCAGATAAAGTAATGCTACTTTTTTTTCAAACACATTCACATATGCTTAATCGAATACATGCTGAATTTAGTGTACCAGCAAAGCTTCACATGCTCACGATGAGAGAGGAGATTCATGACATCATACTTATCAGCAATAGGTTGAAGTTAAAACCCAAGAACCACACTTTTATTTTAAAAACAAGTATAATCTACACTTCTGGTTTCTCATGTTTTTGTTCAATGAGTAAATATAATCTCACATTTAACATTTGGCAAGTAAAAGAAAACAAGTTTGTTCACAAATAATGTTGTTCCATAAGAAATCATGGCTAGATTTAAGTATCAAACCATAGTTAGGAAGGTGCTTATTTCAACCAAACATCTTTGAAAAGTGAACTCCAACAGGGGATCAAAAAATGGAAAATAAGAGGACTTAGAAAGTGCCAAATTATAAGAGTAAAATTGTCCATGTTTTCATTAGATATCATTAGATATAGCTATACATCATTGTACAAAAAGAGCAAAGTCTGAGGGGATGGGATTAAGATGGGAATTCTTCTCAGATTTGACCAACTTTATAAAAACAAAGTCGATGTTCAACATGACTAGCGCAGTACTTTTTCAACACGTTATCTAAAATCCTTAAATTCATGAGATGATGAATTAATGACATCATTAGAGAGTACTTACGCTAAAGTACATTTGATGTAGTTTCCATTGCTGTTGGATCCACAGTTACCAAACTGATCTCCCTGAATATTTGCAACTTGGAAACAAATATCTGCTGCTTTTATTGCATTATCTGCCAAAAAGAGAAATAATATCCAGAAAAAAGAACAAGAAAAGTCTGAGAAGTCTTGCCTAGTGATCGTAACCACATTACTGAAAACTAAAAGCATGAAAAAAGTAATGAATTATTATTAGATGTACCTGGTGCAAACAGATGTCCGCACTGATAATCATATGTCTGGCAGCGTCCTTCATAGCAATACGCAGCATTGTTTTCACAGGGCAGACCATCCATGAGATAAAAGTCATTCGGACAGGATTCATTTCTTCCATTACAATATTCAGGAAGATCACAGGTATTGACAGAATTTCTGCATGGCGTTCCTGCAACTTTCAGCTAAAAAACAGAAGAGAGAAAAAAGTTAACTCACCCACATTTCCAAATGTTTTTTCTTGGTGCAAAAAGCACAATAATCAACCATAAAGCTAAATCCAACACATTTCAGACCTGACAGTTTTCACAACATGCTCCGTGAGCACATGCAGATCCGTGGGTAAATGTACATGTGGCAGCATTGCAGCACTTATTCGTACATTCCTGTATGAAACAGATGAAAAAAAGACAGTTATTAATTATTTAAACAAAAGATACAAAACTTCAACACCGCCAGAGCATTTTCACTCTCAGAGGCATGAAGCAGAAGTGTAATTGGGTAATTGTGCCGCAATAAGTGAAATTAATTTACAAAAAAGGTTGCAATTCTTTGCACATTGTATTTACTTTGTAAATGTCCGTTCCCATATTTAGACATCCTGATATGATATGATATCTAATATTCCCTCTTAAGACTTGATGCAATTTAACAGATGGTACTGTTAATTCAAATTTATAAGGCATGTAAGAAAAACCTTTACATGATTACCTATTGTTAATGCTTGTTATAAAGTATTATTTTCAGTGTGTTTGACTTTACAGTACTGAGCAAAAGACTTAAGCAACCCTTTATTTCATTATAGTTTGCAAGGAAACTGGAAAATAATTGCAGTGATTTACTGAAATTTGCAAACATACATGGAACTACAGTGTTTTTGTTTTTTTCATTTGCTGGAATTGCTGGTCAGTCACTTCTCCCTCCTCCCTCCCCCATCTGTCCAGTTTCCTCAAAGATTTGCACACCATACCAAACATGCCATGTTTTTTGGCTAATGGCTCTTTGGCAATCACCTTGATGGTGCAAAAATACAATTTATGATTGCTAAACTACGCTATTTTTGGTATTTCCTGAATATTCAAACATTTAAGTGAAGTAGTTTAAAAAATATAATAATAAAAGAATAATAAAAGAAATGACCTTTAGATGAACTCTTAGAAAGTCTGAAAAACTATTGTTCAATAAATAAATGGAAGCAAAATATAAAGAAATGAGGGTTGGTTCAAGACTTCTGCACAGTACTATATTTGACAGTAGTACTCTACCTGTGGTTTGCCACAATCACACTGCTCCCCTTGTTCCAGTAGGCCGTTGCCACACTCAGGATTGCTAATCACATTTGATGCAGCGGGCTGATTTCTCAGACACAGGCCTCCTCCTCTTAAAATCAGTGCTTCAAAATCTGCTTCACTGCACTGGCTAAAATTTGTGGCACCACTGCAAAATAACAGGATAAATAATTTATAGAAATATACAGTTGGACAGGCCTCATATAGATGTTTTTAAAAACCCTACTATAGTGAAAGGTTTCTGTTGTCAAATTCTAAATATCTATACTGATCTAAAACCTTTATATATCTTTCAGCACTGATGGTGCCATTCCAGATGTTAAAGCTGCCATTTCCATAGGCACTAATGCTCCTCTTCAGTTCAGCACCCAGGTTTCCGAAAAAGAATTTCAAATTTTGATTCGTACAACCACAGAACAGTTTTTCACTTTGGTTCAGTTCATTTGGAATGAGCTAGTGACGGCGTTTTCAGATAACGTTCGCATACAGCTAGACCTTTACTAGTGATTGGATTCATTGTTTCCTTAAATTTGACATATCGTCCCAAATTTTCAGAATTGGAATTGTAAGGAAGGTTAAAAAAAAAAGACTTCTGCGGAAAAAACAATAAATTAAACATTTTTTGAACATTAGTGAAAACTGTATTACCTGGCACCTCCTGACATGATGCAGCTTTTTCCATTACAGGCGCAGTTCGCAGAGTCATGATTCATGCCCAGGTTATGACCCATCTCATGAGCCACCACAGTGGAGACAAAAGCCAAATTGTTGTTGCTAAACTGTAAAAAACAAACACAGGACATTAAATGGTGACATTTTAACAAAATTTATGCCCAATTTGCAGCTCCTGAATTTGAAATGAGAGTTTAAATCAATGATATGATAAATCATTATTCGTGTATAGCCAGAAGAAAAAAAATGTAAATGAACTTAAAAGCATATATCAAATATATCTACAAAAAATATAATATTATATAGTACATATAGATTTCTATTAATATTAGAAATCAATTTATTGATGTAATCACTTTCTCAACTGCAATAGTAATAGCAATTGATACATGTTATACATTATGTTGTTGGACTAATAAGAAAAGCAGTTTCCAAAAAGACTTTGTAATAATACAAAGAAAGATGCATTGTCACGGTGGTGGAGTGCATTCAAGTATAACTTGTTTGACTAGAGTAGAATGTATTCAAAGCCTGCGAGAATAAGCTGCAGTTTTTATGAATAATGTATGATTGGTATCAGTTTCTGTGTGTCAGCTGGTGTTAGAAGTTAACAGAGATGAACTAACCACATTGATTCCTCCAGAACTTGAGGCAGAGCAGACTGTGCCCACAAAGGCCATACCTAATACACCTCCTGGATATGCCCCAGACTGACCACTAACAAATATGGAAAAAGGGGTAAATGTGTCAGAGAGCAGTTGATATTCTGATATTAAGCATTATTGATACAACATCTTGCTCAGAATAAATAAATAAACCAAAGGACAAAGACCACGTGTTACTTACACAATGAGTTGTCCAATGTCATGCCTGATTTTGGGTATCAGAAAAGTCTTCCTCCACTGAACAAAATTTCCCAACACATTTCCTGCACTGCCGTCCACACTAAAAGGATTACTATCCTTAAAAATCTCCAGGCCCACCAGGACAACTCGGATGTTCAGCTGCTTGTAGTACTACAGCAAAGAGGAAAAAAAATACCAGTGTTTTAGTACAGAATCTAGTTTAATTAGGCACGTTTTCTTTTACAAACTACTTAAAATCTCACCCCGTCCAGTAGATTAGCCATTTGCACCATCTCCTCTCTCACTGCTGTTGCATTGTTTTTCTTAAAAGTATACTGTCAACACAATTAATTTGTATTTAATGGCATTTACATTAACATGCTGCTCAATAGCTTTGGCACTATATTTTACAATATAAGCACTCCAGATTTTGTGGGAAAAGTTATTTTAAAAACTATTATATGCCTGGTGACACCAGGAGTAATATATTCATTTACTGCATCAGTTTACAAAAGCCTAGTCATTATTTCCATATCAGTGAGTTCATAGACACATATATATCTATCTACATATATATTTACACACTCACCCTGAGATTATCCACAACCAGCACCAACTCCACATAACTGGTCTGTGGTAAATTGCGTTTTCTCTGTTAAAGCAACAAAAACCCCAATGATTTTCATGTTGCATAACCTTTTAACACTGCAAATATATGTTGAAGTAACAAATGAGCATTTAACCCGCAGCAGAGAAGTCAGGGATTGGCCAGGCTCAAAGGGTTCGTGGCTCGGCACTGAAGTAGCCTCAGTAACGACTCCACAGGTGATGGGCTCGGTCTGAACGTCCTCCAAAAGGTAGAGAAGGTGGTCATTGGTGGTGGACTGTGGCACAGGCTCCAGGCCAAAGGCCTTATTTTCAAAGAAGATCACACCCCTACAGAAAAGCATTCAAGACATTCTAAGTGACAAATGCTCTAATTCTATTCAGGGGCTTGGCATGGCAATCCTGTAGCAGGTACTATGAGCTCAGGAAACTTAGATACTATTCCTCAAAAAGGTTAAAGCAAATCATTGGCCCTTATCGAGAGCATTTCCCAATAACCAGAATAACTGGAAAATAATTTGAATTGTTTTAAATAGGGATAGTCAAACCTGAGACCAGAGCACGTGCTCAGCGCTACCATTGAATCCTTATAGCCTTCCACCTCCCCATGGTAATAACAATGTACCTGAAAAAAACAACAAAATGAAAACAGGTTTTAGAGTTAATGCTCAAGACCAGCCTTATAACTTAAGGTGTGTTTCAACGTACATGTTCTTTCGGATACGATGTGTTGTAGTTCCCGGCAGCGTCACGTGAATATTGAACAAAATTTGGGTGTAAGAAGTCTCTGAAAAGAAAAGATGTATATATATTTGTCTGCAGCATTAATGTAAGCTTATAATGTCACTACAACCAAATTCACATACCTGTTCTTTTTTAGATGAATGACATGCTTTTGGTTGTTTATGTTGACTGCATATGACACTGTCTCATCTCCATATTTCTTAATATGTAAAGAGCATTTAAAAAAAAAGTTCATATTAAACCATCAGCTGAAAAGATAATTCAGTCAGGTATCAGGTACTCACATCTTTTAAATGATGTTGTCTGTTGATGCTCCTAGACCCTCTATGAATCGCTTGAGGATTTACAATGGAATACTTGGAAAGCTTTGATGTAAACCCCTGGAAAGCATCTGCAATGTAAATTCAACAAGATACTATAAAAATAGAGAAGTCACTCCATGATTATATAATGCTAGTCTTCAGGAAAAGAGACATTTAAGAATACACCCAAATTAAAATGACCAGAACAACATTTAAGCTTATTTTGCTGTACTTTCAGGAGCTAAATATGTCCTGATTAATCACACACAGCTTTTTTTTCTGGACTCCCCCCCCCCCCTTTTTTTTTAAGAATGAAAAATTCCAAGTTTTCGTTGTATGTCCTTTAACATCGACAGCCTACGCATTTAGTCAAGCTCAGAGGAGTCTTACCTTTGTTATCGATCCCAGAAATAAAGGAAAAAACAAAAACAGTTATTAGGATGTGATTTTTGATGATCATTTTTGAAGTCTGTAGATTGCGTCCCGGTTAGGCCCACAGAGTGCCTGCGTTGTGTCTTTGCTTCCTGCTCCTTGTCAGGTGGCTAACGATGGGTGTGGCTTTGGACAGGTGAGCGCCTTAGAAAACCGGACTTTGTTGCAGTGACAATTCAAAGCGATTTGTCAGAGGATTTTTATATGAGAAGTTTTCTTTTAAGCGTTAAAGGTTATATTTCAGTCCTACCTTACAACTTTGTCCCAAATAACTTTTCTACCAAGAGACGCCTCCGTTTGTTTGTGTTGTTAATATAAAGATTGCAATCTTTTAACAATACTTGCTGAGTGGATATTTTCGATATATATTACGTCAGGGTTAAGATCTCGGAGGCTATTTGGAAGTCAGAAATTCGAGGAGCTTCTGGATAAACCAACTATAGCATATTAGTCTAGTGATGACATAGTATAGGCTACACACAGAAATTATCATTACGTTCTTTATTTAAACAGGTTGTATCACTGAGATCAAGATTTATTTTCCCCAAGAAATACCTGTGTACAAAAGACATTTACAGTCTAAGTTCAAAAAGTAGGCAGACAAAGCACATTATTCACGTTTACAAACTAGAAGGCATGAAAAAAAATAACTGCAGATGGATGTAATTATAACTTTTTTTTCTTTTTTTTTTTTAAAAACAACCAGAATTTAGCTTCATATTTTTTTTATGAATTCATTAATATTTTATTTTTGGTAGCTCATTTCATTGGTCAAATCCATTCTTACCAAGTTCAGTGTGACAAGAAGTACAGCTGTTAAGGTTCAAAATATTGGGGATGGAGACAAGAGCAAAAACCACAATAACAACACTGGTCCGGCCGGGTTGAGTCAAACGAGGATTTAATGATCACACACGTGGGAGATGGACACTGATGCAGACAGCCTCAAAATCTCAAAATGGTGGAGCATTGCTCAAACTTTTATAACCTCTGGTGCCTCCACCTTATCATAAAAAGCCTAAACATTCACATGCTCTCTCTCACACAGCGCCTAAGCTACGACCTTGGCTCCCTGTTTATCTGCTCCTGCTGAAATGGGGCAGAAAACTCCAGCACACTCTGTTCTCTTCTACTCAGACAAATTAGACAATAACCTTCTGCGAACAGTATTTCTTATAACTCAGCAATATAATGCATCATAAAACAATATCATTCATTCACAACAAGTCAGCAGTTTAATGTAATGCAAATCAGTTTAACTAATGCAATAGTTATCAGCTTCTTCTAATTCAGGAGAATAATGCAAACTAAAACTACATAATAATTCACAATCTTTAATTAGGGGTATAACATGGCATAAAATAATATCATAATTTTACAATTCCCCCTGATGAGGTCATTAGAATAATGACCTCACAAACACCCTGTAGCCCAGTGTGGCCGGGTTCATCTCTTCTCACTCCTGAGGTCCTTTGTCCCCCTGACGGGCAAACCATATGTGGGATGACCTCTGTGTTTGCGCAATTCAGATGCAAGAAAAACTAGGATTCCAACAGTAGCAGGTCCAGATGACAATCTCCTTGTCTCCCACTGCTTTCAGCCTTTATTCTATTGCTGCAGCTACCAGTGTCGTCCAGTTGGGTGATCCTCTGCTCTTAATTCTTCCGCCTTAGGGGTTAGACAACCCTTCAGTTGTAACACAGATCAGGGGATTATTCTGCTCCGATTTCAAACAACGATCTGTGTATTCTCCAGAAAAAGGAACAGGAAGGTGTCCCCTTTTTGCCCAAAAGCCTCTCGAACCTCGTTGGTCTGGTGTTTCCGGATTTCCGTCAACCCCTTCATGGTTATTGCTGTGTTTATGGGATCCATCCTTTTGTGGTGACTAGCTGGAGCCCAAACGCCATGACCCTTGGACCCAGTTGATGTCTCGGCAGTCACTGTATCTGACTGATTTTATTTCCCCCTTTTCTCCCCTTACTGACCACAGCAGGGGATCTTAGTTTTGAATCAGCCATGAATCCAGCTCACCTGATTCATCAGTGAGCTCCACCATCACTGGCGTCTGACAGGGTGGCGCTGCATACTCTTCCTTTAATATCACTATTTTCAACCTGTTAATGAGAGTGTTTAAACCTGAAGTCGACTACGTCCACAACAAGTCAATACAGCTGTAAATGTGGCCAATTATCAATCTATTACCAATCAATAACAACAGATAACTTCTATTTTATGCATGCTTTTAATCAACCACTCACCCAGAGGATCTCCAATCCCAGCAAGTTCCTTCTCCTCCTTCAATGAGTCTGTCCTCCTTCCATGCCCTGGTAACCGGTCCATCCAGAGCCATATGATCTCAAATATACATACGACAAGCCAAACCACACCTTGGTCACACCAACCCCTTCCCACCCCCAAGATGTCCAATGCCATCCTAGTATGGACTGTCAAAAGTGGCTTTAACGCTGACTGTTCTGACAATCCATTTTATAACGTTCCTGGTCAGATTTGCCAATCTCTGCACCAGGATTTTAAACGTTTCGCCATTTTCATTAGGTTTTATCTTTTATTTAGTTTCGACTCCAGATTTTCAATTTTTTGCCAGTTGTAATTAGTTTTTACCAATTCTTTGCTAGTTTAGTCTAGTTTTTATTTTCTGAAAATCCTTAGTTTCAATTTAGTTCTATTTGTGTTTTGCAAAGATTAAGTGTAACAAAATTTCAGTTCCATCATATCAATCATGCTCTTCTGGTTATCCTTGGGTGTTGAGACTAATAACTATTAACTCTTGCCGCACCGAGTGGTCCTAATTTTGGTTAAAATTAATTGATAACCTTTTGAAGGCGATTGCTTCACACCTTTATTTAGATGTCCCAGTCCTGTTATCTCGGGATGCATCACGCTGCCTTATCTGGGGTTAGCTGTTTTCTTGGGATGCGAGTTAAGTGGGTGAGCTCTAAAAAGAGGGGAGTGTGCTCCCCCTGATGAGGTCTTCTAGGTAAGCTAGGTTAACCTTCTTGTGTGAGCTTTTCAAGTGCACTTTTAAGGTTTGTGGGATTTTTTGTTTTATAAATGTCCCTCAAGACCCCCTGATGACCCAGTAATTCATTTTTGCGCACTGTAGTACACATTTAGTTTTTTGCTTGTAGCTCTCATACTCTACTTGCCACTCCTCTAAATCCTGATGTTTCTTAGAGAGGACAACAGTACCTTTAAAATTATGTCACATGTGTGGGGGTGTGGCCTTGCCAATTGTTTTTCCCACCTTTTCAAAATGGCTGGCGTGCCCACAAGCACATTTTATGGAAGAGAGAAAGGTAAGCTTGATATTTACATTTAAAATGTTTTGTTAAACTCAGATTTTTATTTTATTCAAAAAATAAACATCTGGTAAATAATTTCAGGGGTCTTTAAGAATTAGGCTCATTTACTTTCGCAGGGAACATGACTAATTTATTAATGTGTGCTCTACACATTGGGACTTTATATTTATATTTATTTCACTTTTTCCTAATACCCAACTTTTGACAAAGGCGGAGAGAATTCTTAACACAATTATTAAGGGAGATTCAAACATAGATTTTTCAAAATATGAGAGGGTCAAGACCCACTAAAAGCCACAGAGAAGATTATCGAGATTCAGTGGCAGATGTAATAGAGAAAGACACAGGGCCACCTGAAATCTGTCGTCCTATCTGGTGCAAAACCAACATGTAGTAGAATCTGGAATTTTGATTTTGAGTTAAAAATAAAATATGGGTAAAATGCAGAAATGTTTTCCAGTAAAGTAAAAAATAAGAGTCGCAATTATAGTTGAATCCATAACACCTAATTGTTTCTACGAGATCACGTCGTTGCTGAAAGTTATCAGTGATCTCAATGTATGAAAGGAACTCACAATATCTGGGGTTTAAGCTCCTCTTGGCTGAGAAACCTGGGACAAACATGTGAACAAGACCTGAATAATACCAGTAATGAAGACTTCTCTCCAAAGATCAATAAAAGGAAGCCCCCAATCTGATGAGAGTCTAGCAAAATATGGTTCACTCCACTTGCCTGAAATGGTTAGCAGTCCAAGGCATTTCAGTTGTAGAATGATTGGGTACAACAATGAAACAGATGTGCGATGAGGGAAGTACCAAATGTTCCTTTGTGTCTCCAAATAAAATCAGATATCCTAAATAAATTGACTTTTGTGAAGTAGAAAGTTCAGTGCCATCACTTATTCCTAAACCAATAGTTTACAGCTAGTGAAGTGTCAGTGACTTCTGGGTTGGTCCCTGATCTTCATCTTATGAGATTGTTATTTTAATAACACTTGATTCACTTAAAAAAAAAAAAGAAAAAAAAGAAAAAACGAAAATATTTTCTCCCTGTTTTTTCTTATTCTCTGGGTCTCAGGAGGACATCACGTCCCTCTCCACTACAAGACTCTTGTTATGTCTACAAAACAGTCATATTAAAATCATCCTCAATTCTATTCTGGCGCTGTCTCCCGACTTTTCCTGACCTGATTCTGCGCGTGGACGGAGCAGCAACACAGACGACTCGACTAACGTACTACCTTAATTTCACTATAGCACGGCACGCACACATCAATGCAACCAAACACATTTTGCTATAAATCCAGTTAATTTTAGTTAATTTTGTGAACATTCAGTACAGTTTTAGTTAGTATTCCTTTTTGTTTTGATTTTATTACCGTTAACGCAAATTTTTCCACTTCTACTTTTCGTTATTTCATTTGTTGTCTTTAATAATAATAATCTCCTCTGCACCCTTGAATAAACACCATTAACATGGTCAACCTTTTGCTGCTTGTTATTTCACCACCTTATTGAATCAAATACTTCATGCTTATGTGGTTTACGACATTATATTTATCTAAATCTCCACTTTGTGTCTAAATGTTTGAAGAATTTTTGAGGGTCAAATTTTGAGAATTTGACCATAGTGAAAGTTATGGCGTTATCACCCCCTTTGGGGATTACCTTTTTCCAGTTTTGATGATATTCCTCCCCGTTCTTTATTTTTTGCAAGTACCCCTCCTCGGTGGCGAGAAACTGTTGGTGTGCTCAAGCGGGTGCTGTAAAAACAATAGCTCAGGACAGAACAGTCACCAGTCATGTTCTTCATTCAAAATTAACAAATATCAAACTTCATATTGATCCTCTGAGTGTAATGGTACATTTTAATTTGCACTTCTAAAAACAATATTTTCTTTATTTTACTCTTGTTCTTGTGCAGCACCACCCCTCAGCACATGCCCCTGTTATTTTATCTTACTTTTAAATTGTTGACTACTTCCAGAGAGCGCCCAAAAGACGGGGACCAGTGTTTATCATTACATATCTCCATTTTGAGTGTGGCTGTCTATCATTCCCCTCTTATTCATAGACCTCGGTGGAGGGTTTTTTGTTTGTTTGTTTTTTTTTTTTCTAAAATTAATTGACTCTCTATAGTGACCCACTATGGTTAATAATAACATGCTCAGTCATGAGTGGGATCAAACCTTTTCTTCACTTTAGCATTTAATATTCCCAACAATATAATGTAATACCTTAATTAAAACACAGCTACTAAAACACAATTTCCTCAATGCAAACATCAGTAGCTCAAAATTAGCAACCAAAGGGTTCAGTCTGCAGTTCACACTGCTGTGAAGCTACAGCTCTTTAGTCTCTGTCATTCTTCCGTTCTTGCAGACAAAACAAAGCAAAACAAAACATCCACCCTTCTTTTACAGGCTGGGTGAATTGTCTGTGGACATTCAATAATCCTAAAGTCAGCACCGTTTTTGTCTCAGTATCAAGTCAGTTAAACTTTTAGTCGTCAGTCCATGACTTTTAGTCGTCAGTCATATGCATACATCCACACACATTCATACCAAAAGTTGCTGATAATGGAGTCTCACGCGCAGCCTATTCGAGGCTCCATCACCAGCAAGATGACGTCATCATTTTAAAGGAAACAGCTCCTTGTTTGTTTTTCCTTCTTTGGACTGGATTGACTCGCTGCAATCCTTTTAGGCTTCAGGATCAGTGTCCCATATAAGTCAATTTTCTCCCAAGCTCATTATAATCATGGAGAAAAAATACTTTGCGACTGTTTTCAATAAGAATATTTTATAGCGCTTTAAAGTTCAATCTCTCAGGCCTGGATTAAAGAGCTGATTTGTTAAATCAGGAACTCACAAAATACCAAAATATCACCACCGGTGGATCACACCTCTCAGGTGTTCTTATCTCAGTGCACTGTAACAAAAGCAAAAACAAACGTAAACAATAAAACACTCATATAATAACAGATACTGGGGCCCATTGCAAACATGTCCAAAGTTCAAACCATCTTTCTCTCTCTTAGAGAAAGAGAACAATCCAAACCTCACTGATAGAATCAACCTAGTGTCAAACAAAATCAACCTAGTGTCAAACAAAACCCAAAGATCAACCAACACTCCTTTTTGCACCAACAAAACATGTTGGATTTACTTGACTCAATAGTGGACACTAGCTAAAATGAGCTGTAATTAAATACCTTCCTGCCTCATTATCTTTGATCAGAATCAGGTGTTTCTCATTATCCTGCTTTGTCCACTTCCATTGATCACTTTGTATGTATTTAAGCCCACTTCTTGCTTTAGATTTTTGTTACATTATACTACTTTTAGCTACTTGAGCTGCCACTGGTTGAATTTCTGGATTCTGTTTGTATAATGGCCTTTTGGATCTTTGGCTTCACCTTAATAAAGTACCTTTTCAGTGTACTTTGAATCTGCATTCCAGACAACACCCAACCAAAGGTACACCTATTTATGACAACCAAGCATTCAAGTTTCGTCACCATGAAAAGTTTTACTATGTACCATTGGCTGCAAACTGGTTGTCTTTTAAAAGCAGACTTGAGATTTACAATGGCCAAATCAAAAGAAGATCCTTTGTGAACTGCATGAAAATATACATTACAATAATGACAGAAATAATAATAGTTACTTACACAGAATTTCAAGTCCAAAAAGCTGACCTGATAAACTCTAGTCTCAATTCTCCAGTCTCAGGTAGGTTTATTTGGATTTCAGCAAATAAAATGGCTCGCACTATGATGCTAAATGGGTGCAAGGCAGGGCAAAGGTGACAATAAGGAGCAAAGGGTCTGATTGATCCAGTGAAATGTCTCTCTGCCTTGACTTTGGAGTCTCTCAGTGCAGAAAAGTATGCTTAAGGTTTAGAAGATGGATAAGTAATTAGAAGTCAATGTTTCAAAGTATTGAGAAAAATTAAAGTGATTGTTCAGTTTGTTTGTGTCAGAGCTATTAACCGTTTCTATCATTGATCTCAATCCACTGACCTGTGTTATTTGTCTACAAAAGCTTTTAAAATAGTGACCCCTGCTGACGGTTTCATGACAAAACTGAACCACACATCCCTTCTCCTCTATTCTTCCAAACTGAACCTTTGGCTCATACATGGCTTTCCTGAACAGGTATTAATGAAAAAAAAAAAAAATACAAAGGAGAACATGAACCGGAACTGATAGTTTTTCTGCATTCCAACATTCCAGTTCTCCATACCAAACACTGACATTTAATTCAAGTGAAACCAGTTAGGCAGATCAGCTTGTGTATCTCCCTTTAAGGTAGATGTGAAATCAGTGAACATAAAGATATTATTGAAAGATACATTAAAAATATGAGTTTAATTTTAATTTAGTCAACTTCCCTTGCCCCTGCACTGATTACATTTTAAGCAAAAGCATCATTTCTTCCTTAAATAACAACAAAAAAGGCAGTGTTTCCTTTCTCTGTCGAGATGATTAAGATATTTACAGTGTGTCTCAAAATGTAGAGCGACACCAGAATGAGAAAGACCAGAGGATGAACCACCAACAGGAAGAAGACCAGGAGGCTGTTCCTGAAAGAGCAGTCTGTGGTAGAGAAAGTCTTATTACTTAATGGATTAGCAACGTATATCAATAACTTTTTGTTTTGTCATGTTTTTAAATCAGATTACCAAAAATCAGTGACTTTTAATAAATAGTAACAAGTAATAGTATCAGTGCCAGAGGCTATTAAGAGGTGCACAAATAGTTCACTTGTTGTGACCAAATTTAAACCAGATAAAGTTTTAGCTTTTTATCTGTGCAGGCATCAACTGTTAGATAGAACATGGATGATCACACATCATAACTTGATAATTATGTTATTTCTGATCCAACACGCATATAGTTAAACTGGGAAATTTACACAAAACAGTTTCACCAAATTGCCTAGATCAGAATAAGTTACCACAACCATGTCAGTGGAGGAACAGAACAATTTATTCAACAGTAATTTGAAATACTGTGTCTCTAATGATGAATTCAAAGGACTTTGTTAGCCCAACTCAGCATTGATGATCATAGGTCTATTCAAGTCCACCTACCTGAGCAGGACCACTGTCTATGCTGCCACCGTGCCCTGACTTGTCACAATTAGGTGGGGCCCAGCCATCTTCACAGTGGCAGTGCCCTTGATCATTACATACCTGAAATAAACATTAAAAAGAGAAAGTCTGACATGTCCTAAGTGTCTGTATGAAAAAAGAAAATGCAGTTTTACCCCTTGGCTATTGCAGGTGGTATTTGCATCACAGTCCAGGTTGGGCAGGAGAGCTGAGGCATTCACACACTGAAAGTCCAGACAGGCCTGAAAAAAAATTACTTACTGCTGCAGTTAAAATGAGTCATTAGAAGATTTTCCTTCTTATAGAAACACTATTGTCATAGAAAAAGTGAAATCACATTTGCATTACTTGTTACATTTCTTTCTGTTGTCATTAGCAACGAGAGTCTGCTCACCTTTCCTTTACCACAAGGGCTGCCAGGGTTAACATAGGCTGGATCTACCACATCGGTACCAAGGTTGAAGTCTGCATTAACACAAGTCTTCCCAGCAACTATTTTGATACTGACTGTGACACCAGGAGGAGGGTTATACACATCCACATTGGCGCACTGCACCTTTCCACACATGGCATTTCTGCATCAGGAAGTCAAAGAAACAATCAACAAACCTTTAAATGGTATGCCAAAGATGCCATTATTTTCTTTATTCTAATCAAAGGCTCTTTGTAATTGCACTTTTATTAAAAGTTTTCGCATTATCTCACTTGGACGGAAAGTATAGCTTATTTGAAAATTTTAATCTTGCCACAAAAAGTTTCAGCAAGCGCTGATGTGGGTTCACAATAAATGATTCAGGTAGCTAAAAGTAATCATGTAATATTTACGAACAGTGAACTTCATTAGTTGGCACTGTACACCTAGACAAGGTGCCAGTTTATCACATTGAGACAGACATTAGCTCATGCTCACATGCACATCTAGACCCAATTTAGAATCAACAGTTAACCTAATTGAGCTGTGGGAAATAAGCAGGATACCCAAGGGAGAACCAATGGAGGTACAGAGAGAGCAAACTACTTAAATTCACAACATGTTAAATTAATGATGTCTAATCATTAAAAGACAGTACTTACGCTAAAGTACATTTGATGTAGTTTCCATTGCTGTTGATTCCACAGCTACCAAACCGATCTCCCTGCATATTTGCATCTTGGAAACAAATATCTGCTGCTTTTATTGCATTATCTGCCAAAAAGAGAAATAATATCCAGATAAAAACAAGACAAATCTGAGAATTCTTATCTTGCCTAGTGATCGTAACCACATTACTGAAAACTAAAAGCATAAAAAAGTAATAAATTATTACTGGATCTACCTGGTGCGAACTGATGTCTGCACTGATAATCGTATGTCTGGCAGCGTCCTTCATAGCAGTACGCAGTATTGTTTTCACAGGGTAGGCCATCCATGAGATAGAAGTCATTTGGACAAAATTCATTTGTGCCATCACAATATTCAGGAAGATCACAGGTGTTAGCAGACTTTCTGCATGGTGTTCCCAAAGCCATGATCTTAAAAAAAAGAAAAAACGAAAAAAACCCAAAACTCAAATCAAACCTACTTTTATGTTTTTGGAATGCACAAGAAATGAAAAATTGCAACACAGAAGCAAAGTCCAACACATTTCAGACCTGACAGTTGTCACAACATGCTCCATGAGCACACATGGACCCACGAGTAAAGTTACATGTGGCAGCATCACAGCACTCATTCTTGCATTCCTGTATATAATAGATGGAAATAATTATTCTTACTTACACAGACAAAAAGATATGTCATGACGCAGATGTTTATGTGCACCCTAGTTAATAAAATGCGTAACATTTTAGATTTTGCACTGCACCAAGAATACAAATGATAACATTAGGTATTTTTTCCAGTGTGTGTGACCGTATCTTAAAGTAGTACCTCTGGTCTGCCACAGTCACACTGCTCCCCATTCTCCAGTAGGCCATTGCCACATTCAGTCACATATGATGCAGTGGGCTGATTTGTCAGACACACGCCTCCTCCTCTTGAAATCAGTGTTTCAAAGTCTGATGCACTGCACTGGCTAAAACTGGTGGCACCACTACAAAGTAATGGGATAATCCATTAATAGAAATATGCAATTGGATATGCCTCATATCCAATTACATAATTGCATAATAATAATTCATATGATTCCACTTGAAGGAATAATAAATGCTGAAAAATTAAGCATGTAGAAAACACAATAAATCACACTTTTTTATTTGTGGAAAATGTCTTACCTAGCACTTCCTGACATGATGCAACTTGTTCCATTACAGAGACAGTTCACAGTGTCGTGATTCATGCCCAGGTTATGGCCCATCTCATGGGCCACCACAGTGGAGACAAAAGCCAAATTGTTGTCGCTGAACTGTAAAAAAAACCCCACCAGTATATTTAAATTGTGACATTTTAATAACATTTATGCCAAAATGTATATATGTCTGTGTATATATGTCTCTGTAAGCAATATGTATATATATGTATGTATGTATGTATATATATATATATATGTGTATATATATATATATATGTATATGTGTGTGTGTGTATATATATATATATATATATATATATATATATATACATACATACATACATACATACATACATACATACATACATACATATATATAAATTGATACATTATTACATATCCAGTGGTATGTAGCCTATGTATTATCTCAGCAGGGCTGCTGTACATTGAATGGCCAGCACATATCAGGAAGCAAAGCAGAACATAAAACATGCAACGTGAGGGACTGTCAAAATAAAACAGGAACCAAACCACAGACATTCCAATTTACAGTAACATAGGGAAAATGTGAACAAACAATGAGAGCACACACACTTTGAAGACAGGACACAGAGGCTGGACAGAAAGAGGGGGAAAAAGCCGAGACTAGAACGGAAGACATGGGGCACAACTGTAGGGACAGACAGGGATACAATATAAGCAAAACAGAACAGAACTAGATAAGAAACAAAACTATAGATTGTTAATAAATAAATAAAAACAGGAAATGGGAAAACAACAAAAAACGCAAAAAAACTGGGACCAAAACGCAGGGATCCTAACACTGAAGGAGGAACTAGAAAGCTACTTCCAGTTATCAGGAGAAGGAGTACAAAACTAGCCTGACTCCAGATGAAGTAGAGTTGTTTATACCTGAGACCAGAGCATGTGCTAGCTGCTACAAGTGAATTCTTATATCCTTCCACTTCTCCGTGGTAATAGCAATGCACCTGGGAAATGCAAAGAAAAAAACAGGTTTTAGAACTAGTCTTCAGATCCAGCCTTACAAATGAGTTTGAGCTTAAACTTACTTGATTTGCTGGATATGATGTGTCGTAGTTACCGGTGGCATCACGCAAATACTGAACAAAATTTGAGTGTAAGAAGTCTCTGAATGAAAGAGAAAAAAAAATTATTCTAAAGCACAAAAAAGGAACTTACATTAATATCTGTGTGGCCTAATGCTGCACATACCTGTTCTTTTTCAGATGAAGGACATGCTTTTTATTGTCTATAGTGACTGCATATGACAAGGTCTCATCTCCATATTTCTAAATGTATACAAAAAATGTTAAATGTTCCATATTAGACCATCTGCTGAAAAGATGATTAGGTCAGGTATCAGGTACCCACCTCTTTTGAATGTCGTGGACTGTTAATGCTCCTAGACCATCTGTGAATCATCTGAGGATTTACAATGGAATACTTGGAAACCCCATGGAAAACATCTGGAAGGTAAATTCAGTAAGATACTATAAATACTGAGAAGTACTCACTTATAATCTCATTATCACTTATCAGTAAAAGGTCTTTTAAATGCCAACACTCAAAACACAATCAGATTTCTGCGATCCAATCCTTTTAAATGAGAAAGAATTAAGTATACACTATAGAGCAAACAAAGCTCTTAGTCAGAGTAATAATGAAAATACAAATGAACAACAATATGTAGCAATTGTCGTTATGAGTGTACAAAAGAAAAAGTTCAGCAGACAAACAACACAACATTTAGCCCATCTCAAATGTGATGTATCCAGGTCTCGTGCCTGTTGAGTCTACTGAGTGTCTTTTATGCTTAATTCGAGGCAAACCAAAGTAGGTCTACCTGTTTTTTGCTTGCTTGTAATAAGGAACCTCCTTTGACGGGAAAAACAGGTATGATAAATTTAGGCGGAAAATAACAGCAATTTAAAATATTTGTCATACAACAGGTATGCATTGGTGCACCTATTTAATTTTAATTATATGTGTGGACTTTTAAGACAGGTGTGTGTAGAGCTGTTGAATGGAATGAGCTCCCAAATACACCTCAAATATGTGAAACACTTACGTAACATGATAAAAATAACGATTTTCTCTGTTTCTATAAAACAATGCTGTAAACCACGACGGTAGTATCGTGTGATGGGTGTGATGCAACAAGAGCAGGTTAGACTTCCGGCCTTCGAAGGGTGCTTTCAAGTGATGTACGTTTGAGTTATCGCGTTTTTCTCGTAGACATCTTACGTCACTCTCACGGAAGTGTTTGTTGTTTTTAAAGTAAGCTAATAAACTGTAGCATCGCTTCAGTGAAGTAAAAAAGTACGGGTCTACGGTTTAACAATAACAAAAGGCTGGAAAAGTTTCTATGCTGTCCTTCGAGTCTCTTTCTAAGTAAAACGCTATCGATTAACACAGCAGCTGCTCAAGTTTTTTGGATCATTGTTGGCTCAAAAATAGTTAGCACGTAGGCTAACCAAAAAGATACGACTGCGTGAGTCGTTTGTAGATAGCCTATCAACTATCTGCTGAATGTGAAATGCAAACATATGTTTCCCTTTATTGCCATGCATTAAATTTTTAGTGTGATAACTAGTAAGTTAATGGGCTACTTTAGTAATTACGTTCATAACTAAAGCACTGGCATCTACTTTCTAAAAAGAGATTGCGTTATGTATGGCTGCGCACCATTTTTTAGGATTTGTTCATCTACTGAAAAAGGGACTGTATAAGAATCAAGTCTGTGCAAAAAACAGCATCTTATCTTTGGCGTCAGCTCAAGTTGTCCTGTAAGTGCACATGTACGGTGCAGTCTTCAAGTTTAAATTGAACCCGCACGGCACGGACATGTTTTATGTGTTGTTCTATTCTTTTGTAGAATGACTGCACTGACAGACTTAGAACCTTTAGCAAAACGACTAAAGGTGGGAACAAGTGCTCCATTGTCTTCTTCATCTTCTCGTGGAGGTATTTGTCTAAAAATATTTCCCCCCCTGCAGCGCATATTACTACATTGCAGTATCCCCCCTTTGTAAAATAAAAATTCTGTGTTTTATTTGTCAGGCTCACTTTCGAGTAGTCAGAGCGTCGGTGCTGCGACTTCAGATCAAGAAAGAATGGAAAATAAAACCGAGAGAAAGGTGGTAATAAGGCCAAAAACAAGTGGAGCAGGTGACTTAAGAGGTGTCAAAATGAAAGGTCGCCTTCAAAGAATTGGTCCAACACAGCAACAAAAGTTCAGAAATACTCTTGAAAGATGGTTGATCAAGCCAATGGAAACCTCGAGTACAGGAGATGTGTGCCAAACCCAAAATGATGAAGAAATGATGGATGATGATGGTTTTCAAAGCACCTCAGCTCAGTCTTTAGAGTCCAAAGAAGCTGAAATACTTTTTGTCACTGACACAGATGAAGAAACCCAGCCATTAACTCCAGCAGACTTAGATCAAGATCCTCCTGTATCACCAGCTGCCAAAGATTCTGCAGGGAGTGATCTTACACCAACATTGCTTCAAAGTGATGATGATTTAGAAACAACAAAAATGGACACATGCCCAGCAACCTCCGATGGTTCAGTCAAACTCAATTCTAAAATTACAGACTTCTTTTCGGGGGTGTCATCACCAGGTTTTCCTGGGAAACGACGCAGGTCAGAAAAGTCTCCAGAGAAACAAGATACAGAAAATAAACCTAACCCTTCTGAAGTCAGTTGGCTTGGGACACCAATAAATGAGCTAAAGAGGATGCCAGAATGTGGCAAACCACTTCCTCCACTGAAGAATGTTCCTGGCCATCACACCGTGATGATTAGGGTTTGATCAGTTCTCTTCTATTCAGATGACAGCACAGATATAGTAATATACCTAACAATTCAAGAAGTTAATGTTAAACCTAAAAATTCAAGAATTCAATATTAATTGAATTTGAAATTCACATGTGATTTTAAGAGATTTTGTTGTGATTTCATCTCAGTGTTTATCCTGAATATATAGAGTAGACATACTTGTATTATTAATCATGAGACTGTTTGGTTTGTGTACGTGGAATGTCCATACTAATGTCATTTATTTTGATTCCCATTAACAGACAGATCTTCTTCAAAAGGATAAAGTTCCTGTTCCATATCCCACTAGATTTCAGGATGCCTGGGACGATGTACATGTCAAGATGCCTTGTTCCAGCAGGAACTTATTTCCTATAGAAGATGAGGTAAAGGCTCAAGTGTTTAAAACTTATTTTCGATGTGAATTAAGAAATGCACATGAAGTTACAGGTTGAGGGCATAAATTCGCAAGTTCTACTTAAGTTGTTTAAGTTGTGGGTTATGTAATCAGTGCAGTCACATGATACACATTACTGAAGGCAACTATTTAATTATTTAAAGCATCTAAAGAGAACCATAATTAGATGGCAAAACTATGGATGATGAATGAATGTAAAAAAAACAAGATGTATGTAAAAAACAGTCATAGTAAATTAATAGTATGTGGAAAAGAGAATATTTAGGACAAATGTGCATGGTGCAATGTCCTATCTGATGAGGCAGTGATGCTTCATGCTCAAATAACTAATCACATAGTGTTTTGAGTGTCACGTCTTACTCGTATAGTGTCCTAACATAACAGTGACAGTGGATGCTAGAAGCTTCTCTGCACCAGTGTTACATAGGCCATCACTGTAAACTCTACCCAGTTTAGCCTTTGTTTACTGTCTGTAATAACCTTTGATAACATAAAGGTATCATAATTCAGTTAGTTTTTAAAGATTTCTTTATATTAAATCAAAAACTTTTATTAATAATAAACAACGTCAGGAACATTCCATGTACTTTGTGATTTAAAAAAAAATCTTGCATTAATTAAAATTTAATGCATAACCTTTAAATTTACTGTTCATCAAATGTCACGTGCTTAGGCCTTACCTTTGACCTCAGTATTATCTTTCTCTCCTGTCTTCTCTTTCATGCCTCTTTCTTGATTTCAGAGAGTAAAGCTGTCACACTTTAAGATTTTTCTTCTTCTAGGGAAATAGAGCAATTGATGCAGGTTGTGTTACAAACTGCACAGAGGGAGTTTGTATGTTTGCTGATATTTGTTGAGCTGCATTTAAAAATGAAGCATCTTAAACTCTGTTTATGGTTGCTCATGAATTGCTAAGTCCAAAAACTGCAACTTTACTTGCTTTAATGACATGAACACATGACAGGAATGAGAAGTAAAAAAAACCAATGTGTGCAGTGTGCAGATGGGACCATGGGGTGGCGTTAATTTCTCGCTGATATCAGAGGTAAGCAGCACCAGGCTGCAACACAGAAAAAAAATCAACTCCTTTGATATTTTTGTGAATTCAATGGACTCTAAAATGTGGTTCACTAACTCATTAATGCTGCTCTGGATCCTGCCAGCTCACTTTAACTCCTGCTTGTTAGTTGCAATAGTTAGAACAGTTCTAAGTTTGTAACATTATAGCTGGCAAGATGTCAAAAAATAGCAAAGCGTATGGTGCTTATTCATCCAGGCTGGGGTTATTCCTTCAACAATAGCTGTAAAGATTCCTCACATCTCTGAAGTTATGAAGTACAACAAAACAACACAGTATTATTGTTTATACATAAAAAATCTCAGACCTGAAATGTATACTTCCACAGGAAACACAAGAACTGCAGAATAAAAGTCGGTGGGAGCTGATCAAGGAAACTTTAAACAAGACATTTACAAATCCTCATGAGCTGAAGGTACGTTTTGTCCCTTCATTGGCAAGACAGTATGTCTCCTCTAGTATGTCTCAGTTGTTGTTACCAGACTCTACCATAAGATGGCATGATTAACCCAGATACCAAAATACTGTCACAGAATTTAAGTAAGCTGACACTTTAAAAATGCAGGGATGCATACATATGGAGTAATTGTGACTTGAAGTGATGTTTAAGATTAATTTTGATTATCAATCTTATATGTTTATTTTTGTGATATTACAGAATGCAATGTTGAAGTACAGTGCATCACATGCCAAGAAATGGGACTTCGCAGCGCTTCATTTGTATTGCACAAAGGTAAACAGCATAGCTATCAGAGTGTGATGATTAATAATTGTTGATTTTTTAATCGCGTTGAAAATATAGTGAATTAAGCATCTTTTGTTTGGAGCTGTCATCGAATTAATACTGACACAGAGGTCTGTAATCACACACAAGCACATCTTAAAGATGTCAAAAGATTAGCTGTAGTATAATAAAGTATTAAGTAGCTAAGTATTAACTGTCCAATCACGATGCTTAATTGCCAGCAGAAAGCACCGTGTTCATCTGTTAATTATTCTGCTATAAAAACACTATTAAAAAGCAGTATGAATCAGTATCAGTAGATAAGACTAATAACCAAATTTGCAGCTCCATAATTGCAAATACTATGAAGACATTACAGACACAACTTGTTTGAGGTTATTGATACTAAGAGAGATTTGTCTGGTTAAATCCTTGCCATCCACACCTGGACTTCATTAAAAGGATATTAAAATGATACAATTGTACCTTATAAAAACTTAAGATAATTGTTTTAACGGAGAATATAAGGTAATTCTAAATTATTCTAAAGTTCTCTTACTAATGTAAGGAAATCAAGTTTTGATAGATTCCCCTTGAAAACATTTGATTTGTTTTGCCCTTTTTCAGACTTTCCTTTTCCAGCATTACAGACATGAGAGTGAAAACATTGCTCATAATTATAGAGAATTTCACAGGTTTTAAGATGTTGTTTACATGATTTTTTTGGTACTGTCCCAAGCTAAGTAAAAGCACAAACAAAGATGAGCCTGAGTTGCATCATAATTTCCAGAGCACTGTTGGTTCACAGGTCTTTGCTCAGAGTTGTCAGCGTCTTCTCCGGCCTTGTTTGGAGCCCATCCATCATGTGTCTTAATGTGCTCTGTGTCATTCTGTGTAGAGAATCACAGAGGACTGTACTACAATCTGCCTCATGAAGGGGATGCGAATATTCCACTTGAAGCGATAGCTGTGTTTTTATGTTTAATATAAGTAGCACTGAGCCCGTAAGAGTAAGAAATACTCTTTTTTTTTCACGGTAAAGTATTGCTACATCACCATGTACTACATGGCATCAGCTATATGTTTCACCGATATCTCTTATGCCGCATGAAAAAGGACACGTAAACCTTTTTTCATCAATGTCATTATACCAAATGGGTTTCTGTTATTTTGCTGAGCAATAATGGATTTAACAGCGGGACAGAATCCTGCAGCCCTTTACAGGCAAAATGGGAGTCGAGAAAATATTTGGTCTTTAGTCAAAAGGTCACATTTAGTAACTTGTCAGAAATGAAAGTGGTTGAGTTTACATTCTCGGAAACTGATTTATTCCAGCCTTATGATGTTAAATAAATTGTATGGTGTATGTATGATATAATTTATGTTATAAAGGGAATTCTGTTAGCAAATTTTCAACATGTTAAGGCTGAGAAGCTTTAGCCATAGGCTAAGTATTATTGTTTCAGCTGGCTTTGGATTGTGTCATTTGTCAATTTGAATGACAAAGTTGTCTTATATCATACAAAAAAATACCAACTACCAATGAACATTTCATATAAAGTCACATTTTAGATGAGGCCCCTTGTAAAGTGTAGATAGAGACATCAAACATCTGCTTGTGTGCACATTTGACTGCTAAATTGTAAAAACAAAAATTGGTATAATTGAGGGTTATGTTTGATACCAGCTGATAACTAGTGACGTAAGTGTCACTGATGGGCACCGTACTTAACTCTTTTACTTTTGTGCCATATAGAATTTACTCAGAACTTTCATGTGTTACAAATCTGTGATTTTTATATCATTATTATTAAAGGGCTGAGGCCACCAGAGCCGAGCTCCACCTCCCGATAACGAAATCACTGCTTGTTAGAGCTCAGCTTTAGCTCCATCAGCATCACAAACTCGCATACAGAATTGCCCCTTAAACACAGTAAAGTTAGCCACAGTAGACTTATTATTACTTATTATTACAAATTCAGGAGATGCCAAGTGAATAAAAAGTAAAGAATTAAAAGACAGCTATTCCAGTTATTCTACTAATGGAAACACAGTTTCTTATATTAATCCTATAAGCTCTTTTAGATACAATATTTTATTGAATGATAATTCTATAATAAACAGAAAAAATAAGATTGCTTGTTTTTTAAATGCACAAATGACACAATAAATTTAAATAACTGTCAGTCTTCTGCTTTTTATAGTTTCAGTGGAACTAATTTCTACTAAAGGGTAATTCTCCCAGTTGAACCCAGAATTAACCCTGGAATAAGCCAATAGTCTTCATGTGTGTAAATGATCCAAGAGAGCAAGTAGAGTTTAGTATTTGTTGACATTTAATTAAAAATAAAAGCGTTTGCTTTACTTCCAATTGTGTGGAAAAGCGAACAGTGTAGAATAATGCACGCAGCTTTTCACCTCCTGACGTCTCCCGTGCTCCTTGCCACATTGTATGATTTGAGTGTCAGAGAAAAGGAGGGATTGAATAGCATGGAGTGACGGGCCAGGCAGTTTCATTGAATATTCATCTGAGGACGGATTCCTTATGAATAAGTGAACAGCTGTTGACAGAAAGCATCAGTTTTGTTCTCTTTCATCCGCCCAGTCAGTGCTGTATTTACAGTTAGGAGCATGTGTGTTTTACTTTTACATGGTCTCATGTCCGTGGACTTGGTTAAGCAGATTGCTTTAATTTGTAGACCTGTTGGGAAAACCTCTGGTTTCTTGCTGCTTACACCCCCACGTCTTGGTTGATTGCTTTGTCATTTCGGTGCGATGTACAGAGCAGTATGAGGTCATACAGAGAGTTAGTATAGCTGATTTGATGCACGTCTTCTTCTGATTTAAAGAGTTCAGCTTATACTGCCTCAGCTATTTCTACTGTCTCCTCCGTCAGCTGCCTTAATTTATAATGCCTGTAGGAGCAGTTTACGATGTCAGCTAGGTCATTACTTACAACACTGTTTAGTCAGGCTTCTTTTGCCATGATATAAATGTCCAAGGCTAAATCAACAGTAAAGGCTTCATGTGCTGGGAACACACTGTCCTTTCTATTTCAGACACTTGGTCATTTGCATCTCTTCCAAGAAGACTGTTTAATCAGTTGGCACGCAAGTGTAACCTTGATGAAATTGCTCTGTTATTGATCATTCTGACATTTTGTAGCCAATATGGATGTAAAAAAAAAAGAATATATAATGTCTGTTATCTATACGATTCATAAATGTGGTGTAGTCATGGAGGATATGCTACTATGGGGTGATATTATTATTATTAACATAGATGACCTGTCCCACTTAGACTTGATGTATTTTTATAATATGTCACCACATCTTTCACATTCTCTTTTTAATTATCAGTATAAGAAGAGAACAGTTAGCTGTAACAGTCATTGAGCTCCCATAGATGTTTTACATCTGCATATTGTGGATTGGAATGCCCTTTGATTTTCTATAGTGCAGATATTTCAACAGTATTTGTTTCACCCTAAAAAGTTTGATATGGATCATAGCTCGTGATTTTCTCTGTCTGTCTCAAACTAATCAGCCGAAACAGCTAATAATGTCACAGCTGATATTTGTGGCAAAGCAACAAATATAAACAGATCTCTGGTTCTCTCCAAGGTCCTGGAGCCTGATGCTGCTGAACATCTGTTTGAGTCCCTGCTGCCAGACATGGTGCAATTAGCGCTGAGAGCATCTGAGCTCTGTACCAAGGTAAATCCGTTGCTAACCAATGGAGACCGACATACTGGTCTTTAACATTATAGATCATTGCAGCACATTGATCAGAAAAGTCATATAATCCTGTAAAATCATAGTAAAAATTATGAGTTCAAAACACATAAGATGAGATGTTTTGATCATCTGGATCTTACATCGTGTAGTTAGTGTGTTTTTGCAGTAGGAAAAAAATTCATGCCCTAATTTGACCAAGCAGCCTATCATCTTGTTAAATATTACTTCACTGCATTGATTTTATTTCTACTGTGATTCATTTAAAAACTCAAACGGTCCCTCACAAGTAGGCACATTAGCCAAACAGATTTGTAAGGGAACATTATTCATGTAGCAAACTCCGCATTGTTCTTCCTTGCTTATACAAATTTATTTATAAAATCATAACTGTAAATCTCCCAGACATGAGGGTGTATGGACTTTGATTTAAATTAAAGGTTGATTTAGGAAGCACATAATGGTGCAAGATTATTAGGATTTTTTTCAGCGTCTAATTCAATAAATTGACAGAACAAATTATTTTGACCTTCCTCGGTTGTACCTATTTTCCTCTTCTAGCCAATACCCCTCCTCAAGGCAGGCATGAACCACTCCATCACCATGTCTCAGGAGCAGGTGGCATGTCTGCTCGCCAACGCCTTCTTCTGCACCTTCCCCCGACGGAACTCTAGAAAGACCGAGTACTCCAACTACCCAGACATTAACTTTTTCAGGTAATCTGGGGATGTACTACTCTTTGACTCATGGTGCTAAACGTAATATGATGTTGTTCGGTAAAGTATGCATTCGGGACAACTAACTTCATTCACTATGCATGCTTTCCTTATTGTCACATGACATAATGCTGGTCTTTGTCAGGATTATCAATGTAGGGCTTCACTTGGAAAGTATGAAGCATGGCTTGAGGGAAACCAGGGCCCAGGATGTGCAAAAAGGGAATCCTGTAGTAAAACATTTTGAACATAGGAGTATCAGTGTTGGCTAATTGAGCCACGCAGCAAGCTCCTGGTAAATGCAAATCATCCATCAAGCCTATCATTGAACTTTTTTCATACATAGAAGAAGATAGATAATGGCGCATTTTCACATGGATTTTTTCTACTGAGTGAACACAGATGTCTCAGGAAATGTTTGTTCATGAAAATTTGCTTCAGAGATAGATGTAAAAGCATCATGGGAATTCATCAGTAAAATGTATGTGAGCTCAATTCAAGAATTTAGAGATATTACATAGTTTTGCATTTTCTTTGCATTTTTATTTTAACTTTCATTTCCTTTTTCTTTTTTGTTTTTAATGCAGTCTGGTTCAGTTAGAGTCCAGAGTAGATTTTCTTGTTTCAGTTTAGTTTTTGCTGTTTGAAAATATTCAATTTTAGTTTTCATTGGTTTCATTGTTAATTTTTTGTCTTTTTGATTATTATTATTTGAAGGTGATTTGTCAGAGGAAGGATTTAGGAAATTGGTACAGCTATGAGAATAAAAACACAACTTACAGAGTCTCAATAAACACGCCCATCAGTGCCTCAACAGGCACTTTGTTAATACAATTTTACCAAACTAACAAATACTAGAAATATGGATGTTCCCTGCATTTTTTTAAGTTTTCTAAGTTAGGAAAATCATTAAAGTTATTCAATTAATTCTAATTAGGTCTAGTTTCTATTTTTATTTTTGTTATGTAAATTTTTACACACCCGCTTTTAGTTTTTGCTTTAGTTTCAGTTAACTATAATAATCTTGCAAAGATTAAGTGACAAACTATGACCTAAATGACAGGTTGAACAGAAATGTGCTAGAGCCAACCCTGAAGGGAGTGTTTCTCTGAACGAACTGGTGCTGGTGCTTTCCGTTGAACATATATTTACATTTATTCATCGAATTTGAACGATGCTACTGTTTGCTTTCTCTTGCACTTGAACGTTTCTCCAGTATGAGAATGTAAAAACAAGTGCATTCCATTCAAAAACACTGCATGCGACAAACATTAGGGTGTTTTCTTAATTCTGCAAACTTTCACTGTGGAGATTGTGTGGGCGGTGTAATGTAAATGAGTCTGCAGTTCACTGCAGAGTCATCTCTGTTGGCATCACATTGTAATTACCTAAATGGAAGAGGAAATTAGATTAACATTGACTCAGATGGCTGCTTGTGACAATAGAGAAGGCCGTTGGCTATTTTGCAAAAGGCAGTAAAGGAGTTCACTGGCATCTGAATTTCATTTATGTTGTGGTTGTGCTGTAATTTCAAAGAAACTGCAGCATCGTCCCCTTTTCTTCCTGCGCAAAAGTGTCCTAAATATCCTATGTGGTATGAGACAGAAAATTAAGTTTATTTCATTATTCAAAATCCTTAATACATTTTTATTTCACAGGAATACCCAGAGGGTTACTAAAGGAAAAACAAACACTCATTATCTGCGAATTTATTTATTTATTTTTATCTCAAAGCAGTCTTCTTATTTGCATTGAGATAAAAGTGACTATAAACACTATTATCTTTGAAGGTTTTTTTCCAGCATTGACTCTGCCATTCAACATGTTCTTCCTGAAACTGTATCTATTATTTTACCACAGAGTGCAGCTAAGTTTATTAGAAACCCAGCAGTTACACTAAATGTAGCTATATACACCCTTTTACTGAGTTGCATCATACCTTCTGTACATCAGTTGGAGGTAAATTTATGTTATATAATTATATATTAATACCGTATTCCCTAAAGACTGTATGGCGATCTGTTACTAAAAGGCTGCCTTATGTAGTAGCTACCTTATGTCTAAGACATTTTCCCCGGGGACTACATGAGGCATGATTGTTTCTCGAGTCCACGCTGACAAAGAGAAATGAGTGCTGGAACTGACTTCAATGAATGAGTTTCCCATCCCCTAAAGGGCTCTCAGTGCACTGAGCTTTTGTCATTATTTCATTTCCTTCACTTGGAATTTCTCTCTTTATATTGTGGCATGTGGGGTGAGCTGCAGGGTTTTTTAGAGTGTGCTTGAGTGGGAGATGGTGGGCTTAATGCTCAAAGTGTATTCAAACCCATCCACTGCGCCTCGCTGTTAGCAGCTTTGTGTGTATCTGTGCTATATTCCAGGGGGATTGCCTTTTTGCCTCCTGAGGACTCTGTTGCTTAAAAGGGACACGGGGCTTCTTAATGTATCCCCAAAGAGGGAGGCCTGTTTCCCTCTCTCTCTCCCTTTTTGAGTGAGTGCTGTGAAGTGGCACATGAGTATTGCTCTGTGATGGCAAGCCTGGGGCAACTCCATTGTCGTAACAGCGAAGGAGCTCCTACATAACCGGCTACTGACTGAAAAGGGAACTGAGTGAGAGGTGAACTAATTCATATCAAACGTTAAAGCATGACTGAACTCACATGGCTAAAGTGGACATCCTGTGTCTCAATTTTTCTTGGTCCTAGCTGTGGCATTTTGATTGTGAGGGTTGGGCATTTGGTTGGGATGCTGTGTTAAACCAACTTTCTTAAGAAGTAAGCTTTTAATTTTTGTTTAAAAAACCGGATGTACAATATCAACAGTTATGTAATTAAATCCACGATTTGTTCTCATCTGCAGGCTTTTTGAGGGGTCCTCTGCAAAGAAGACTGAAAAGCTGAAAACCCTTATGTGCTATTTTAACAGTGTTACTGAGAAAAGTGAGTGGTCACATTTTCTTCATGTTAAAAATTTACTGCCACATAATTGTCTTGCCAGATAAAACATTTCCCTTGTTTTTTGCAGTGCCTACAGGTCTTGTAACATTCACCCGAAAAAGTCTGAATAAGCCACCAAATTGGAAAAGGTATAATAATATGATGTCAAAATAATATTATATGATGTATTCATTGGGCTGTTTGGAAACTAGCATGGATACATGTTCACATGTTCTTGATGTTGATTAAAAACTGGAAACTGTTTCAGCTCACAGACTCCACTCACGAAGCTCCACATCACCTGTGAAGGAACCATTGAAGATGATGGGTATGGAATGCTTCAGGTAAGAGAGAGTATGCGAGGAATGCACGAGTTGGAGAGACTTGAACCCATTGAATCTTTGCCCAAACGAGCTGTTTGTTGGAGTGTGCTTGGTTCCCATCCTCTTTCCCTTTACTGAGCCGCCTCATTCTAGAGTCTTCCACCCAGAATGCTTACTACTGCTGAAAAGGCCTTTGAGGGAGCATTTGATGTGTCGGAGGGAGTTTGCGCTGGGACTGGGGTCGAGGCCTCTGAGCCTCTTGTGCTCTCTGGGTCGACGATACTTCCTGTATACTGTCAGGATGGCCTGCTCTGGCTTTCACCTTTTGTTTGCCTCCAGTTGCCACAAACTGACAGTTGATGTGCACACATGAAAAGCTCTGGGGCACACTGCAACTTGGATTGATGGATGCTCCATGCTTTGTTGGGGTGGGGGCTGTGGTGAGGTGTTGACAGCCTGTCAAAGCAGACTTTGGAGGCTGGCTCGCTGTCCCAGAGATGAGTGACCAGTTTAGGGAGATCTGCTCTCAAACTGCTGCTCATCCCTTTGCAGCTTCTTCCTGGGGTTGTGAGGGGTTTGGTCTGGACTGTCTACAGGCCAACGAGCAACGGACAGAGATGAAATTGTAAGATTATATGTTCCACATGGGTGCTTTCTGACTAAAACAATCAATTCACGTCTCTCTGAGCTGAATCAATGAGATGAACGTTTGTTCTGAATCACAAACAGACTGAAATAGCAGTATTTGTGACTGGAGAAATATGTTTATTTTCACCTGTAGGACTGCTCTCTTCATTTGAAATTTGCTACTGGCAGCCTCATACCTAAATGCCTCTCCTGGGAAGAGTTTATTTTGGCATGGAGGACAGATCTCTGAGTAATGCCAGCACCTTAGGGCACCTTTCCAATCAGCTTGTCAGGGATTCTGTCACAAACTGACTAAAAAGGGCAAAGACCATTTCATGAGGTGCTTTCTTCCTGTTTCCAAAGCTGTCCATTTTAACGTCAGACAGAATGTTAGCAGTTAGATATTTTCTTTTTATTTTCTAACATTTTCACATGTGACAAAACAATAGATGCTGCAAGAGTATTAATAATGTTTCATAATCTTTCCTTCATCATCAACCATCTGTCTTGATTTGCAGGTGGATTTTGCTAATCAGTTTGTGGGAGGAGGTGTCACCGGGTCTGGTCTGGTTCAAGAGGAAATACGTTTCCTTATTAACCCCGAGCTAATTGTTTCTCGTCTCTTCACTGAAGCACTGGATCATAATGAATGTCTGATTATCACAGGTAAGTGACAAACACTCTTTAACCTTGTTAAACAGTAGTTGTTACTAAAGGAATCCTATTCAATGATTCACAATTTAATCATATGATTCCGATCAAATCAATAACGCCATAGTCTCATTCTTCTACTTTTCTTCTACTTTGCTTTTTCGAATTTGACAGTAGAGAAATTGCATTGATTTCTAGTCAAACCCAGCATGGAGAACACATTGCACAGCTTCAGTTTACAGCTTTCTGACTCAGCATGGGGCTAAAGGATGTTTGTGGCAATTGTCCTGTTTTCTGTATCTGTCCTTGTCACCTGTTTTCTTTTGATTGGGTACACACGGTAAATTCTGGAGACAGACTATGCTGTTCTGATTGCGCTGTTGGGGCTTTCTGTTGAGTAATACTTCAGAAAGGAGTGTTTGCCACAAACAAGGCTGGAACAGGCCAGTAGACCCAGTAACAAGAGCATCCCTTAGGGAGCCCCAGCAGGAGGCTGATGGCACCTGTCTGCTTTGTGGCTTGATTGTGTTCGATGAAGACTTTAGACAACCAACCAAGATACAAACTAACAAAAAAAACAAACAAAATAAACAAACCATACTCAAATTCTCAAATATAATGTGACAGTAAAGGCCGCTAGTGGAACCAAGTCACACTAGTGAGTATGGTTGATGTGCCTTCTGATAGAAGTAAACAGAAATAGATTAATTGGTTTCACTGTGCAAGTGACCCAAAGCATACTGCTAAAGCAACCAAAGCAGTTTTCAGGGCAAAGAAATTTGATATTCTTCAGTGGCCAAGTCATCTAATCTCCGCTCAATAGAGTGTGCTACTCAGTTATTAAAAGCTTTAAAGTGAATACAGAGAAACTCAGAAACAATCATCAACTTAAGTACGTTAGGGCAAAGATTTGGCAGACCATCTCAAGGAAGAAACAGCATGTGGTGATGTTCATGCGCTCTAACTTCAGGTAGTCATTGACAGAAAATTATTTTCATCCAAGTATTAAAGACAGTATTTAAAATTCTGTTAGTTTAGTCCATTTACCGTAGTTTTCAGGTCATAAGCCGCTACTTTTTCCCCACACTGTGAACACTGTGGCTTATACTGACGTGCGGCTAATGCATTTTTTTTTCATGCGGCCAAAAACATTTTGCCTGGTAACAGTAGACCAATAAAATTGATAAGTAGTATATATACAGTATATATTTTTAGCGGTTGTTAAGAGACGTTGTAATGTTGTTTGTGCACTGTTCCGTAAAAAAACCATAAGCAAGGTAATTTGTGTGTTACCGATACGTACGTATACTTAAAGGTAGCCGTGTTACAGGCGCTGTTCGAGGGAAAAAAAGCATTTGCAGTATGTATTTTTGTATGTTACCATAACGTTTATGTTACCATGTTTATGTTACCTTACGGATTGAATTAAACGTTAAAAATCCTCACATGTAGTATTTCTGTGTAAATATCTCATATTACGAGTGAAACGCATATGGCTTAAAATCCGGTGCGGCCTGTACAAGTACAAAATTGATTTTCTTTCTAAAATTAGAGCATGTGGCTTTTAATCAGGTGCGCTCTGTAGTCCGGGAATTACGGTACTTTTGAGCCTCTGGCAGATGTCAGAGGTATGTAATGTAAATAATTCCTTTGCAGTTAATGCAATTCTTTTGTTAAACTATTAGAATTAAAGCTAAAAGTCTGCACTTTATTCACAGCTTGAATTTTTGATTTGACAAAAACAAAACAATTTGTCCTTGTCTAAATACTTATGGACTTGACTGTGTTCCATTGATGTATATGTGTATTAAAAAAAATTAAAATTAACCAGATCTATCTCTCTTTGGCCCCACCGGACTTATTTATGCACCATTTATTTGAGTTATTTTATTTTGTATAACTGATAGAACATATAAGCTGCTGTAATTAATCCAGGTGTCTGCACAGGCCACATATTACACATTTTTGAAATCATGCTGAGTAAAATCACTATGAAGTACTCCAAATATCTACTATGTTTTTGCCTATTTCAGCTTGTTGTTTTGCATTGATTGCAATGTTTTGGTTAATCCACAACTCATTTCGATACCCTTAAGGGACAACAAACATCATGGATTACATTATATCATGTTTAAATAGAAACATCTTAAATTAAACGTTCTCCTTACATAGCACGTGCATTGGGTAAGAACAGGAAGTGAGGTCCTAGAGGCACCAGTCATACTGCAGCATAAGAGTTTCTCGCTCTCATAGAGTCACCTTGAGACTTCTTGCTGGCCGCCTTTCCCGCGTCTCTGCTTATGCCACTTAACTTTATTACTTGGGCCCAGAATTAATTATAGCTGGAAGACCTGACTCAGACCTGCTCTACTAATGGACTCTTCCATTCCATCATCTTTATTAAACCCGGGCTGTATCTCTTGTCCTCCACGGTAAAAGTCCAAGCCTTTGCTGCAATGTGGTCATGTGGTAAATCATGTTCCCTTGTGATACATTTTGGCATACAGTACTGAAGCTAATGGATCGTACTCCTGCACTGAAATTTGCAAAAGTGCCTTATCCTAATTGAATTTTCCTTGATTGCTAGATATCTGGCTGCCAGTGGGGCGGTCACAAGTATAAATAGTATCAAGGAGAACTCATATGAACCATATGAATGGTGGTGCTGACCAGAAAATGTGGTTCATGCTCGGTGCATGCAGGAGACAGTCATAGGGATTTTTCATTTTTATTTTTTCACAGTATTTTTTTTTTTTTTTTTACAGCATCTACAATTTGAACATAATTAAAGCTATATTTTACCCATGTGCTATCCTCTTTCGTTCAAATGCAGAAGTAAAACTTGTTAAAATGAGATACACTGCTGACTTTCTAGTGTCTGGTCTTCCACAAGAATGTGAGACAATTTGTTTTGATGCATTTACACATGAATGGGACGACCTTCAGTGAATTACACCCGCTGTTTTTTAATACGACCTGTTCATTTATAAATAATTTCTAAGGAACAGACACATCTTCTTCTAGCCAAGATCGATCCTCTTCAATTCTTACTAGAATAAATTTTTAAATGGCAAATGGGTTGAATAAAAAGCAAAAGCGTAATCTGTTTTGCTCCTGAAGAATGTGCCATTCAAATGCAAAAATGTTTGAGAAAAGAAATCTTATTTGGAAAACCAGTAAAGGTCAGGTGTATGCATAGTGTATGCACACAACACCATCTAGTACAACAGCTGTAATATCCCATCTTTAGATTAGATATCAACATCACGAAAGTATTTATTAAGTAGTAGCTTTATGGGGTTTTTTATTCAGTTATAGTGCTGGGTGCAAGTTGACATGTGTTTGCCATCAATAGTGTGACTGAAAAGTACCTTTGCATGTACCTCAGTCTTTTGCAGACCTTTTGACCCAAAGTATGCATCTCTAATTTCAAATGTGCCAATGGCACTGAAGCTCAAAAAACTTCATATGGGCACATAAGTCATGTAGAAGGTTTATTTTCTAGCGCTGTTAAACTACACGAGGTATGTCATTGTCTTACTCATTTTGCTTATTTAAAAAAATAGAGGCTGGTTAATTATTAATGATGTGTCTGTCAAGTGGAGTGCACCCTAGAGATTCCCCCATGTGTTACTAATAATAGCTGCTGACCAAGGCTTCTCTACTAATCGCTTGGTTTATTCACCTTGCAGCATGAAGCATCTCTGCAAGTGCTCTCAACAGCTAGGTACTAATGAGTGTTAATGAATGGGAAGTTAATCTGTGGCCCAATTATATTGACTGTCCTGTTGTCTACCCCCCTCTGCTCCCTCTTTACGGGTGTTGAGTGCTTCGCTGTGTGCTGGTGGTCAGTCATTGCTGCTTGCATCATTTCAAGAGGGGTAACAACTTGACCTTCTGTTTTTCAGCAATCGGATGCTCTTCGATCACTTTTAACCCCCTAAAAAGTATTTAGTGCAAAAAATTAGTAATAATTTGTTTTCTTTTTCTGTGTGCATGACTTGTTTTAACAATATTAATTTTCCTTGTGGTTTTAAGCATTGAGCTGGGTTTAGGAGCCAGTTGTTTGTGTTACACTAAAGTATAGTAACATGGGGTTTCAACTACTGATAGCATTTAGGTGGGAGCCCTAACAGAGTTTTTAAATGTCATTGCTTTTACCTATCAAAGATTTGTTATTCTGTATGTTAACACAATAAACTAATCCACATATTAGTTTTGAATCATGAAGAGAAAGATAAATAATCTTTAATTCTAAGTATGTGTAAATAAAATTGAGATTTATATGTTTATATGTTGCCTGCTTAAGTGTGCCTGAAGTTCCTGTTTGTTATTAGGAACGCAGCAGTACAGTAAATACACAGGATATGCACAGACCTACCAGTGGGGTGGCAGCCGTTTGGACACAACTCCAAGGTATCTGGTAATTTTACTTGGTTTAAGACCTTTAACATTTTAAAATAATAAATAAAAACTGTTGTAACTTTGTTAGATCTCCTTACATTGATTAGCTTGTCTTTTTCACCACCTTGGTCTAGAAATATCTTGTAAAATAGTCACACTAGTCAAACTGTAGCATGACCAAAATTACTGCCAGCGTGTGCAATGAACCTGTGAAAATGTTGCTTCTGAAATAGTTGCTATGTCAACACAGCCATAAAACCCAAATGAGATGGAATCAGTTTTTTATCAGGCTGAGACCAAGTTGCCAGTTACAAGCAATCTGTTTGTGATAATATGGCCATTCACTCTGATAAATCAGCAGATATTGCAAATCTGTTGCCATCTACATACATAGAAATTCACAATTACTAATTACTTTCAGAGTCCAGACAGAATTTTGTGAATCTGAAAGAAAAATTTATATATTTCTCATTAAATAGTGATGTGGTAGCTATGGAATTTAAGCTGCAATTATTAAAGGAGTTACTGAAGGAAACATGCAGTGGTAGATTCTTTCCTTGAAATGCATGCAAGCCACACACAAACTCAACCAAGGTTTCCACTGGCCAGCTGGCCCCACTCTGAGATCCCATTTAGAAAGGTTACCATATTTAGTACACATACGTTTTCCTTTAACTTTAAATCTCACAATGGATGGATTGCCTTGTCTTTTCTGACTCAGGGCAGCATTTTGTTCCACTAAAACATTTCAAAACCATTTCTTTGATTGAATTTTTATTTCATTTTCAGTGATGGCTGGCAGAGAAGATGCACTACGATTGTGGCCATCGATGCGCTGCAGTTCAAGAACTTTCTTGAACAATTTCAACCAGATCGACTCAACCGAGAACTTAACAAGGTTGTCTTTTACTTTTGTTTCACTCCTTATTTTGTGTTATTTTTTGCAGTTGTTTTTCTTCGCTCTGTATGTTACGATGAGTTGAGTAAAGTATTTGCCCAAAATTGTTGAAATTAGGACCATAAATCTCGGAGTTCGGTGTGGTCACTTATAGCTAGCTCCAAAAGTGAGTCCTCACAGACTTCATGGACAGCTTTGCAGCAGAAAGAATTATGTTTACAACTTCCTATGAAGAATTTTACCATAGCACACATCTTTAAAGGCCTAAATTTAGTATAATAAGGGATGTGGTCTCTTTGCATGCCAGGTTGGTTTTGTTGTAAGGCTGTCTCATATTAGCCAGTATTAACATCCCATTTATTATCATAGTGAATAATGGCTGCACCTTCATACCTATTGTGTGCTGACTGTTAACTCGCCAGTTCTATCCTTGTAGTAGATTCACTCCGGTAAGCGTTAATGACTTTGTGCTTCATCTCTGTCATCTCCTCTGGCCCTGCACCGGCTACATGAGGAGAGAGAATAATTATCAGGTGTGCCTGCTCCACCCCTCCCTCCAATTCTTGAGTTTACTGTTGCTGGAATTTGACACTATATGAACTGAAATCAATTGAATTGAAACACATAGAACCCCACAGCCAAGCCACTGCAATACCCAGATGCAGTTAAAACAATAGCTAAACAACAGATAACTAAACTTCACAGATGTAATCCACAAACCAGTTGGTTATGTCATAGTAGGTGCAGCCATCTTTTATATCCAGTCTATAATTTGTCTTATGCTTCACACCTGTTTAGATAGAAAAAAAAGAAATTGTCATACATAGTGAGTGCTGCTGAAAATATACTTTTTTCCCCCCTTTTTAAGGGCAGCACTGTACGTTTTGATTTGGCAAATTTTTACACTGCATGCAGAGGGATATGTGTAGCAGCCTAGCCTGCCAAGTGACTTTGTTAACCACTACACTATAGAGCAGCTAGGTTTTAAAAAAATCTACTCTTAATTTCTAAATTCTCGGTTAATTTTTTACAAATTTGTATTCATGATGGTGAATCTGTAGGGAACTTCTATCACTGCCACTGAAGTAATTTCATTTTAGAATTTTGATTTGCATTGTTTTAATGGTCTGAAGCCATTTGGTTGCGAATGGGGGAAAAAAGTCTCATCACAAATGTCACCTGAGTTGATATTGACTTGTGTTTACTTTTCTCAGGCTAAATAGATGAATTATGACGTGCCATATGCATGTAATACGTACTGATAGATTGCTGTATTTGTAAAGAATAAACATAATCATATTCATTACACTGTCCATTAGGCCCAGCATGAATTCTAATAAGCATAATTAACCTTAGTGCAATTAATCACCGTTAGCACATTTGCATCATGTTAAAGACACAAAAAACAAAAACAAAAGTCCTTTGTTATGTGTAATCTTCCCATGGTTGTCATATCTATTTGTAATAGAAAATCAAGATGTTGATGTTGTCAGGTCTGCTGTCAGAAATCATGGAGGGGTTTGACAGCTCTGACAAGGATTTAAAAAATGGACCAACATGAAGATCAATCCCAGTTCGACTATTGTTCAGTTAACTGTCATATCTGCCCTTTCACAGGAAGAATTTATGACTGGTCAGTTGGAGGACGGGCACTTACAATTCGTTTTCAGTATACATCATTAATGTTAAGAGTCCCCTGCAGATATCTCATGTAACAACCTTTTGCAAATAATTTGCCCTGTCACTTACAACCCACCCAACATGTGATTTCATATGTTTTTGGTTATAACACATGGGTTTAGTCAAACGAATCGATAACATTGAGTGAATAGCCATGAAGTGGAACAATGATGCTAAATGACATCGTGTTAAAAAGACATGTTCAGCCTAGTCAACCAAACCTTATTTTTCATGGCCTGTCAGCAGCATGATTGTTATTACAAAACAAATATTCAATTACTTTTTGTAGTCAAACCATTTCACTTACATCACAGCTGGACAATTACACTATTTTACCACTTCGTTAGGTGTACCATGCTTGTACTGGGTTTAACTGCCTCAGTTGGCCATGGCATAGATTCAACAAGGTTGTGGAAAAATTTATCAGAGACTTTGGTCCATGTTGACACAATATTATCACAAAGTTGCTGTTTATTTTTTAGCTGTACATCCGTGATGTTAAGATCCCATTTAATCAAATCCCAATGTTGGCCTTTCGGACTAGGATCTGGTGACTGTGGATTTTGAAGAACAGTGAACTCATGGTCATGTTCAAGAGACCAGTTTGAGATTATTTGAGCTTCTTTACATGGCATGTTATCCTGCTGGAAGAAGCTATCAAAAGATGTGTATACTGTGATCAGAAATGGATGGACATGTACTCAGTATTGAACCCTACAGCCAAGCCACAAACCACATCCTGCCACTGCAATCCAGAAACACTGAGGTAGGCTGTGGTGTTGAAGCAATGCTCATTTGGGGCCAAAAAATATCCCCCATAAATTACAGGACCACCATCAGCAGCCTGAACCATTGATACAAGGCAAAATGAATCCGTCCTTTCGTGTTGCATACAATATAATTACATTAAATGATTGCATTTCTAATTTTCTGCTGTCTTTGTGTAGGCTTACTGTGGCTTTGCATGCCCTGAAGAAAAAAGTCAGAACCTTTCAGCAGTTGCGACAGGAAACTGGGGCTGTGGGGTTTTCGGAGGTGACACACGTCTGAAAGGTAAGCACTGACGTAACACTGCCGTCAGAGGATCTCGTGGCGAAATGGGCTCCTGTAATCTTTGTGCACTTGGCAGTCTAATTGGAGTCTCTTCCTCGATATAACAGAATGTATTTTAGATAGAAAAGCTCCAGCAGATCAGTGTGAGCTCCATTTGTCTTCTGGGAATGCGTTCATTTACTTAAGGCCTGTTCGTTGGCTTCCTTCTATTGATCAAATGACAAAGTTAATATGTTTCATTAATAGAGAAATTGATCGCCTGCTTGAGTCCATCAATCTGTTGCAGCTTTCTGTCTGTGCCTTGTATCACTGTCACAGCAAAGGGAGCTCCTTTTTGCCAACAATTTGCAGTAATAGCTCTGCTTCTCACTTACTATCTGACTTGGAGACCTTGTGCTTACAAAGTATACATCCATCCATTTATTAATTAGCTGTAGCAAGGTACAGTCCGTTATAGGCACTATCACTACTGTCTGCTTAATGATGTGCCTCCAGGGAAGAGCTCTGTAATTCAGATGCTGTTCTCTGCCTCGATTTATTGTCTGTAGCATCGCATAGACCCCCTTTTTTTTAATTGCCGGATAATTTTTGAGGAAAGAGTTGAAAGGAGAAGGGGAGAGAAACAGCTGACATGAAGAGATTCAGCTCAGAAATCCTGTGAAAATGTTGATTCAGTTTTGCTCATTAACTTGGCAGTGTACTAACATTCATTAATCAGTAGACACATTTCCGGTCTCTTAAAATATTCACAGCTCACCGGGGCCAGACCTGGACTCCCTTTGTAACTAATCCAGCATACTCAGTAGGGGTGAGACCAGTTCCCCAGATAACTTACCTTTTGCTGTAGGCTACAGAAGCTGATACTTCTCAGTTTTAAACAAAAGCTATTGGATGACTTTTCAGACCTCTGTTTTATTTGTCTTTGTTTTGTTTTTGCAACTGAATCTATGAACGTGTGTGGAAAACTCTTCAAAAGAATGTTCAAATTGTTTTTAGCTTCTATATTTTCCTTTCAAGCATTTGCTTGAATCCTTAATATACTTGAATACTCAGTTATTTTCCTTTCGAACTATAAATAACATTTTTTTTAAAGTCCAGTTTAGTTGATATACTGCATTGAAACATATTTTGTGTCACATACACTATTGAGGCTCATCACTGCCTTCTTTTCCTCCAGCTCTGCTCCAGATGCTGGCAGCTGCTGAGGCGGGCCGAGACGTAGCCTACTTCACCTTTGGTGACAGCCAGCTCATGACAGATGTCCACAACATGCACTCTTTCCTCATTCAGAAAAATATCAGTGTTGGTAAGGGGAACAGCCCAGGCATCATGCCAGCTTCTTGTTTTTATGAAACTTTTTGCACTTTTACATTCAACATTTTTAAATTGTCAAAGATGCAATTAAAGAAATAAAGTAAATACAGATAATATGTATTGAACACGCCACCAATTTTCTAAGTAAATATAAGTAATATAAGTTTTAAAGGTGCTATTGACATTAAATTCTCACCAGATGTCTGTAATAACCAATCCAGTCCATACATGCAAAGAAATCAAACCATAGATGTCCATAAATTATATGTAAGAATGAGAAGTGACACAGAAATGGTACTGAACACGTGAAGAAAGGGAGCTGCGAAAAGGCATGGGAAGAGAGGACACCAGCTGACATCTATCAGTAATCAGAAAGCAATCCTGCCACTTTGTGCAAATGAATATCAACTGGTTTGGTTCCCAACCGATGGCCTATAAAAAGATATCTCGTTACCATGGTGTCACACAAGAAACATTTCATGATGGGTAAAATCAGTGCGCTTTATCAAGACCTTTGCAGCCTTATTGTTGTAAAACATACTCATGACATTGGTTACCGAAGAATTTTTAAGCTACTGAATTTTCCAGTGAACACTGTTGGGGCCACAATCCAGAAGTGGAAAGAAGATAATTTCATCATAAACTGGCCATGACCAGGTGCTCCCCACAAGATTTCAGACAGAGGAGTGAAAATAATTATCAGAAGAATTGTTCAGGAACAATGGAGTTGACTGACTTGTGGAGAGCTACAAAAAGGAAGGATGAATGGAAAAACTGGGGATATTTTTGCTAAAAATCTGTTGCCATCTACCAAAAGACAATGGAAACATCCAAGGAAACTTTCAGTTGGTTTTGGAGAAAGCACATAAAGCTCTATGGAAAGCACTAAAGCTCAGAGTTCATAGAAGGGGCCCACGAAACCTTCAGGAGTTGAAGACTGTGTGAAAGAATGGCCGTGGCATGACAAGCTGTCATCACGATCAGGCTTTTGCATGTTCGATACTTTTTCTCGTGTCACTTCATTATGTAACATAATTATGTTACATCTTGGTTTGATTTCTTTGAATGTCTGGATTGGATGGGTTGTTGCCGACATCTGGTGAGAATTTCATTACAATAGCACCTTTCGAAACATATTTACTTAGAAAATTTTTATTATTTTTACCAGCTGTAATAATCCAATTATTTTTTGTTATGAGTTTTGGAAAATAATATGATCTCATGAACCATGAAATTTCCATCCTATATTTCAGTCTAATATGAAGATTAGACAATATCTCCTTGTCTTGTTACAGGAAAGGCGTATGATCTCTTGGGGCAGTATTACAGCTCAGAGTGCAAGAACTGCCTTGGTCGACGCCCTGACGTCAGCCTCTATTCCTTCATCTACCAGCAGGTCAACTCCTCCCTGGCGCCTGATGACTCCAACATGGGTTCAGCCAGACAACACGCACCCACTGACTGCCATTAAGGTTAGGTGGCTGATGAGTCACCGTGATTTGCCTTTAAAAAATGAACATTAAATGAATAAAATATTTTCAGTTCCTTTGCTTTTTTAACAAAATCTATTTTCTTTTGTTCATATGATGGTGGATGTACCAGATGTGGTTTTAACCACAGGCTGATAAAAATGATAATGAAGGTCTAGCATGCATACCCTTTAAAAAAGGCAGGGGGTGGTTAGTTATGGCCGCGTCTGGCACTGTACTCCAAGATGTGTTCATTTGGCTGTAGCTGGTAATACTGCAGTAGATTGAGCTTCAGTGTGACGCGATTGTGATTTTAATGGTGAAGCAAAGGTTGCCATCCATCTTCTCAGTTTGTCATGTTGCCTATTTTTTACACCAGCACATATCCAGCCTAATTGAATTGGCTGTCAGAAATCAAGTTAGAGGAAAAGAGTAATAAGAATTGTGTGTTGGAAAGCTTGCGGTCCCAGAAAAGTGGTTTGATTTAAAGAGCAGCCTATTTCTCAGCAATAATCGCTTAACTTCTGTGTTTATTTATTTGCAGGCATTGAAAATGGATCCATTCAGATTACATTGTTGTGGGTGTTTCTCTGTTTGTGATTGCAATTAAGATATTAAAAAATAAGTGTTTGCGTCTTCCATTCATTTCAATGTAAAACAGTTTTCTTTGCCTTTTTAATTTTTATATAACATCACTAGAATTAAAATAAATATTCTTGGCAAATTTTGTTTTTCAAAGAATTAAAAAAGGTTACATTAAAAATCAACAGCACAATTTAAATTGAGCCACAAATCTCATCTCTGACTTGATGAGTGATGGTTCCTTGTCCCACAGATGTTATAGCAAAATGACTTTCTACACAGCCTTACCATTTATCTGTCCCCAACTATTGCTTCATCCTTTCCTTCACAGTTTAATAAGGTCACACCTTTTATATAAACTGCACATGACACCTCATTAAGTGAAGAGTAGATCATAGAGCATCCAGTCAGATCTGGGAGTCAGGTAGTGGGAATCTGTGTGATTCGTCTGCCTGTTATACAAAATGCAGCTTCTTTTGCGTCAAGAAGCTGGCTGACCGAAGTTTCTGCAGGTAGATCTTTGGCACAATGTGTTTAGCTTTCATGGATTTCCATGGGTCTTTATTACAATTATGTATTTAAGCCAATTTGTGTTAAATAAAAGCTGATTAACACCATTAGCAGTCTGACATTGATACAGTTTTATCCTTTAATGGTAACTAAAGCATGGGCTCAAGCTGTAATTGTGTACTTCAATGAAATAGATGATGTTTTATTTCACATTTGACCATCATTTATTCAAACGCAAAAGTTGTTATCTTTCAATTTATAGATTGGCCAGTCTGCAGAGGTCTATATGCACTATTGTGCAAAAATCTAGAGCCCCCTGTCATTTCTTTATTTTGCTAGGTAAAGTGAGTTTGAAAGGCAATATTTGGTAGGACCACCTTATTTTTCAAAATCAGCCTGAACCCTTTTAGAAAAGTAGTCTTCAGGAATAGTTCTCCAGTCTTATTGAACCACATTTATGGCTCTTCTTTGCTTGTTGGCTGGCTTTAGTTCTGTTCTCTTCAAAATGACCCCACACTGATTCAATAATGCTGAGTACCAGGCTTTAAGGAGACTAATTCATGACTGATAGTGTTCCAGTGTTTTCTGTCCAGGTATGCTTAAACCGCATTGGGAGTGTGCTGGAGATGCATGGTGGATCAAAATCTAATGGTACCTTTCAGTATTTACAATTCCATTGAGTTTGACAAGATCCTCAAAACCTCAAAATTACCTTTGCAAACATTGCAATATTTCTGTTAATAGCTATTTGGGGCTAAATACTCATTTACAACTGGCATTTTTAATAAAGTCAACAAAAGAAAGGGCAACAAATTGTGTTTTTTGTGACACGTTGCTAGTAACAAAGCTCTACTGAGGATTCAGTACAATATAAAATTGGTTCTTTGCTAAGTTGTCTGTTGTGTGGAGACACAACACTGGTTTATCCCTTGAGTTAGGTGTCTTTTTCAGCTTCAAGGATGTATAGATGATTGCCAAGTTGTTCAATAAATGAAAATAAATTCTTCTGAAAATTGTCAGGTACAAAGACTGCACTGAAAATGAGTGAAAAAGCAGCAAATGTCCCAAGAAAGCCTGACTCATTTGTAAGTAAAACATAAATTACAATCTGCTCAAGAATTTTGCACAGTACTATATGATATTTTTTTTTGTTGAATGTTAATTTAGTTTTGTTTGCTGAATGGATTCATGGGAGCTTGTAAGTAAATGAGAGATATGTAGGTGCCTCTAAGCTTGGTGCTGTCTGCCTTTATAGAATCAGGGCCTGAAGCAGGGGGTCTCTCTTTGTACCTTGCTGGCTTCAAAAAAGCCTTTGGTGGCATCTCTCCAGAGGGGTTCCACCATAGACACACAGGGGTATCCTACTGGACTGATCCCTCTACAGTGAGCCTCATGTGTGTTTTCGACCTTTAGCCTGCCATCTGTCAGAAAGTCACAAACATGCCCTGTGTTTAGTCTTCTAAACATCTCTGTAATGCAGTCTGGTAATGAAAAGTCCTATTAATAATGGAGTTTCGAGATTGATCTCAGTATGGAGTGGGTCCTTTAAAGTAATTTTCTGTTGTGTATGCTTATATTCTGTTAGCTCTTCAGCTTGCTTCCACTGGTTATTTATTTTATAGTATGTAGAATATCTTTTGCTGTTTTAGACATCGAGCAAGACACTGTGTACATAAATTCAGTGATTAATCCTAATTAATATGGGAACCCACTTTTGCTTTAATGCTAAATTCAAAAAAAAAATTGTAAATGGATTGTGATGAAGTTTAGTGCAGACAAATGTACACATAAATTACAAAAGATCGGCCCCTTTAGTGCTTCAAAGAGAAACAAAAGTTGGCATTGGAGTAAAAGGTGATTCTTTTGTAGCAGGCTGATCCAAATAAAAACCACTAGACTATTAAAAAAGCTTTTTGAGTAAATAAATTTGGACTTTGGAAAAAGGTTTCCTGTGCCACTTGGGGTATTTTTCCCCATGGTGACTGCACTGTTAACAAAGTAATTATTAACAAAGTTTCCAGCAGTGTACGTTTTTTCCAGGCTTTGCGCTAGGCTCCAAGTGTGGTACTCAGGAAGTTTATCATTGAAAAAGCTGTCCTCGAGAATCGTCTACCATATCCTGACCACCTGTCCAGTGGTGGCTGAACGGGATAGGAAGTGAATGAATGGATGGGTGGATGGTTATTATGTTTATTAATTAAGGCAGATGTGGCTCAGGAGTTAAATCATGTCACCTATTAAGGTTGGTGGTTTGATCCCTGTCTCCTCTAGTGTACATGTTGAAGTATCTTTGGGTAAGGTACTGAACCCCGAGTTGACCCGATACATCCATCACAATGTGATTGTGACATTAAATGTGCGTAGGCATCACAAAAGACACTTGTGGAACTGTGTACGTGAATGGTTGGATGGGGCTTGTTTGCATCATTAGGAGGAAATTATCAGCAGTATGATAATAAAACAAACTCAAATTTAAGTTTATGTTTCATATGTTAAATAAGGCGAGTTAGCAGAAATAATTACACATGCACTGTAAAAATAGACTACATGGCGTACTAATGTAAAGCCATCTTATTTGATGATTATGACCGAATCATCAATGCAGCCCAGACAACAAAGACAACACATTAAACAGCCCATTAATAAATTCGTTTTGAAGTTTGAAAAATAAAAAAACATCCACTTGTGTTTTGTTTCCATCCAAGGGGGTCAGCTTGGATAATGTAGGGTGCTGTATTATAAATTGGGAGGCCTATTAAAATTAATTATAAGCTATTTACTTCATATTTCCTCATCATTTTTGATCATTAGTGGAAACTCCCTGTAGCATTTTGAGGAGTTATGCAAGGTTTTCTTGGCCACAGATTAAAGGTATTATCAGCTGAATATTGATATGTTTGATGAAACCCTGGGAGCTGCGGCTTGTATTTGTTTGGACTGAAGACATAAAACCAAAATAGGATTCGCTGTCACGAGCAGCCTTTTGCTAATTATTCATACTGTGTCCTTTTCCATGGTAAAGTCCTTATGGGGAAAAAAAAAGGATGAATGTTGCAAATACACCTGGGGAATTGAGTTCTAATGGCATGCAGCTAATTTGCAAATGATTCTGATCTAGGAAAATAGGTTATGTTTTTTACAGTATTGGTAGTAGCATTGATGGTTAATATATGTAAAAATAGTCACTGCTAACACCGAAATAGACAGAACTAAGCGTACTAACCTAAAACTTCACCCAAGGTCAGCCTATGTAGAATCAAACTGGGGGATTTGTATGTCCTAATTTGTCTTCATTGTGCATATAAGCAGTTCATTTTAAAACTGAATGACTGAACTTTTAAAGAAATGACCTCTTTATAATTAAATATTTAGACATCAAAGAGCTCTGAGCGTGCTCTAATTAATCTCTGCGCTGCAGTTTTTATTGCACAATGTTCTTTAGCAAGATCTTTAACGCAGGTACATCCTATTAAAGTAGCTACATTGCTGGTGCGGGACACAGTCAGCTAAGTTTAGAGTGACCAGGTTGTCCCGCTTTATGTGCAGGACATTTTTGTCCCTTGTTGCACTTACTACGACAAAAGTCAAAGGTAAATGAGAAGAAATACGAGATGTGTCATTTAGGGATGCACTGGCAGAACAGCAGCTGAAATAAATTGTGCATTAGCTTCCATTTTGGTTTGTTTTATTTAATTAGAGAAAAGTGGGAAATTTTCTTACTGAAGTGTAATGCAGTGGTAGTTTGTTTGTTTTTATTTTTAAGTTTTTAAGTTTAGATATACACTTTATTACTTACACCTTGCAAATATTAGCTTGGACTCCAATCTAGTATTAGAAGACCTGTTAAAACGCCCTTTTAACAGGTCTTCCTCTTTAAAGGGATTTTTTCCTTCCCACTGTTACCAAGTGCT